GAGCTGACACCACCATCCCCAGTCCCAGGAGGCTCTCAGCTGATTCAAAACATAGGATTTTAAGGAAGAGGAGGAGAAGGAAGAGAAAGCGGGGAGTAGGAGAGGTAATGGATAGAAAGGAAAGGTGCCAGCCAGAGGAAATGAAAAACTGTCATCAGGATACCAACATGAGGAGACCACTGCACCACACACACACACACACAGTGACGTACTCTCCTGCTGGCTCTCCAACTCTGGGCGTATTGGCAGATGACGCTGCCATAACAAAGTGACACCTGTCACAACAGCAGGAGACGGTTGCTTGACAACGTACAGGCAGATCTGCCTATTACAGGAGAGGAGGAGACCTTCAACCCTGGGGAGCTTCCTCAGGCTTCTGGAACCCAGCAAACCTTTCCTACTGGCTTAAGTCTGGGTTCTCTGTGGCCAAGCCCCTAGAACCTAGGTATGCAAGTTCTGAGTGCTAGGCCCGTACCTGGTGGCTGGGTACCATCACTGTGAGCAGCGTGCCTGGTTACTCCACTGTGTCCGACTTTGCGACTGTACCCTGCCAGGTTCCTCCATCCATGACTTTTCCAGGCACAAGGGATCTTCCTGACCCAGGGATCAAACCTGAACCTCCTGTGTATCCTGCATTGCAGGCTGATTCTTTTACCCACTGAATCATCAAGGCATCGCTTATCTTACCTGGTTACCAGTGTCAGGAATGCTGGGAGGCAGAATAGTGCAGTGTAGTAGTAAAGATCATGGAGTTTCAGGCATACAGACCTGAGTTCAAATCCCCACCCTGATGTTCACTGGCTCTGTGACCTTGAGCAAGTCAAGTAACCTCTCTGGATTTGTTTGCTTATCTCTAAAATGGGGCCATTAATACATACCTCTAGGGTTGTTGTAATGATGAAATGAGATGATTCTTTCATTTCACAAAGGTTTATGGAGTGCCGGCTGTGTGCAGAGCATTGAGTTGGATGCTGGAGACCAGTGGGACCAAAGAGACCACAGCTCTGCCCTCCTGGAGCACGCGGAGCCCCTGGGCCCTGCTCACAGGGCCTGGGGCACAGTGAGATTCAATAAGCAAGAGTTATTTGTGGTGACCATTGTGGCATTCTGCCATTATCTTAATTATGGGACACAGGGAGACCCCTCCACCTTCCCCCTAGAGAAAGAGGATCTCAGGGGTTCCCAATATGCCACCTTGAAAGCCTCTTTTAGTATTTTCCATCCACATGAGCCTCATATCTGGTAAGATTTTGTACAACCTGCCATCAGGTCATTCTTCCTTTTCAGTCATTACAGCTTCATACTACAGTTATGAGAGCTTGTGATCAGGAAAGAGGAAGCCAGTGGCCCATCATGCTGTTGGTATAATTCCAGCCCGAAGCAGAGACCAAGTCAGCTTGGTTAACGTTCACATACTATGTGCCTGTTCCTCTGGTCCTTCTAGAACACTGATAAGAGCTCAAGGGACTCCTGCTGCCCTCAGGGACCCTTCAGCTAGGCATTCCAGACTGGAACTCACTGAACTGGATGTTCTTCTGTGGGTATCATCCAGTTGAGAGCTGGAGATGCCACACCACCCTAGGGAACTGAATGTCAAGCCACAGACCACCCAGTTCTCCTTAGAGCCCTGGCAGTCCCCTTCCCCAGGTGGGTGAGCCTCCTGTCCTCTTCTCTGCGTGGCCTGGATATGCCCTCTCACTCAGAATTCCTGAGTGCTCAGTCATGTGCAGGCTCAAACAAAGGCCGCAGCGATGACCACAAAACCCAAACCTCGATGGGACAATGACATTTTGAAATACATTTTTCCTCTCTTCCTTGGTGTCCCTTGGCCCTTCCTGTATGCAGTTAGGTTACTATGCATTCATTACACCAGGAAACAAATGACACACCAGAATGCAGAATTCATTTTTAGCTTCTGAATTCTAAAAGCCTTGCTCGCCTCCAGTGAGGGATGGAAAGAATATCTGTGCGGTTCTAAATTTAGAAAACTGTAAGGAGGGGGATCTGGGAGACTGAGACTTGAGGGGGTGGTCCCTGAAAATAGAGCAGCTCAGCCTCTGAGCTAGAGGGCATCCGCTGGGTCTCAGGGCCCGGGAAGCAGGAAGACGTGTGCTCCTTTTCCTGATGGAGTGCCAAGAAGTAACAGAACCCTGTGCGTCGCACTGGGGCAAATGGGGCCCAACTCACCCAAGACCCTAGGAACTTGCTGGGCCTGACTGGCAAGAGTGAGAGTCTGAACACCAAGACGGGGATGGGTTACAATCGGACAGGAGGTGAGGAAGGAGCGCCTCGGCCACATCCTGAGTGGGCTGAAGACAGAAGACCAGGACAAAACCAGGACATCTCAGGAGATGCTAGTGGGACTGCCCTTCCCACGCTTCGGCATCTTGAAAGGAAGTGCCCTAGAATTCAACCGATATCAAAGAAAGTGATGGGGAACCCTGAGTTGACTACAACTAAGTTTCTGCCATTCTTGCTGAGTAAAGCAAAATATAAGTTTGGTTGAGTTAGAGAAAATTCAAGTTATATTTCTTAGACACTTGAGATTGGAACCAGCTATACTCCTGACCCACAAGGCCCTGTATCATTTGCCTCACCTCTTTACCATTTCTCCTGTCTCACCTGCCTCCTTCTCCTCCACCAACAGTCACAGAGGTATTTGGTCATTGCCCGCAACCCTCAAGCTTTCCCACCTCAGGACCTTTGCACTGACGATTTCCTCTGCCTTCCCTTGGCTCTTTAAATGGTAGGCACCTTCTCAGTTTAAATTTAACTTCTTCAGGCTACACTTTTGGAAATAAAACCACCAATTTTCTCTCCATGTGCCCTGTTTATTTCCTTCCTGTCTATTTTTCTTTGTTCATCTCCCCCTCCAGAGTGTCAGCTCCCTGAGGGCAGGACCCCTGTCTCTCTTGTTGTTCCCTCAGTAGCTGACACTGTGACTCAAATTACTTGTGGAATGAATAACCTGTGTTGCCATAGCTTGGTGGGCACTGAGATTCCCCCACCCCTACCTGGGCCCTGGTCAATTTCCCAGCAGTCCAGGACCAGATGCCAAGACCCATAACCTTGGGGCTTGAACACATAGCTGTGCTCTACCCCAGGGCCTTGGCATTAGTGTATCTCAGAAGGTCTTGGTACCCTGCCTCCCACCTGTCTTTGGAAGCACAGAGGCCCACTGGGGTCTGTGCACAATGCTTACAGAACTTACGGAATGGGTTCAGAGCCCTTCTTCTCAGCTATCCATGCTAGGCTTTCCCTTGCTCTTTGGAGGATGCAGAAGCTGTCCTTCCTCCCTTCCAATGCCCCCACCCCACCCCTGCACACCATTTGAAGGCAGAGCCAGGCCTACCTCTCCTCCACCTTTAGGCTGAACTCCCAGCCCGGGCCCTCTTCAAGTGTGGCAGCATCTGCAGACACGTGGGAAATGTCTGTGACAGCAGCCGTGTGGGTAGACTCCCCGCCAGCTCATCACACTGGCGGAGGTGCTGTCTCCCCACTGGCTGTGAGAACAGACATTTCCACAGTGACGACTCCCTTCTGCACCTGCCCGCTGGTTTCTCTTACCCATGGTCTTCTTGTGTTGCTCTCCTTAACTCTAGCTATCAGAGAGGCCTGGCAACTCAGAGCCGTGGTTTTCTCCCTGCTAGGATCCACTGTTCTCCCCTGTGGCCTCTGGGCAACAGAAGAAATACAACAGGCAAAGGACTCATGGTGGATGGGTGGGTGAGTGTTAATAAAGCAAATCTTCAGGTTCCAGATTCTGTTTTCAATCCAGGGATCCAGGAAGGTGGTTCTTCTAGACATTCCAGCTGGTTCTGCCGAGATGGTCCAGGGACAACACTTAAACAACTGGATTAGAATGCAAATGCAGTGACTGTGGGTTGCTGTGCCCAAACGAACACCGCTCTGCAGTCTCCCTCAGGAAATGTTTACCTCCGGCCCTAGATTCTAAATCCCTCTCCAGAAGGGACCAGAGCTTATTGGACAATGTGTGCTCAGCAGGAGGCCTGACATATGCAGCTGCTCTGTGGATGTTTGTTTGATGAAGGCAAACTCTCTGGTTCCACGGGACAGAGTCGCTTTCACTGAGATGGTAGTTGGCCTGTGGCAGGGCTGCTAAGGCTCAGGGAGGCAGTTACAACAAAGGCTGGGGTCCTCATCCTGAGACCCTCTTCTTCCCTGAGGGCCTCACATCAGAATCAGAGCCTGATTTCCCGCTGCTGGATGAGCTCCTACACTTGAGGGTCGGGTCGGGGATTACTCCAGGCTCTCCCCCAGGAAAGAGCACTGAGATGAACAAGCTCTCCAACAGGAAATCTGAACAGAAGAGTCGCTTTCCCCGACCAGACTGAAAGCCTCTCCTACACATCCTCAAACTTTGCTGCATATTTAGTATCACCTGGGAAACTTAAAAAAAAAGAAAAAACTTAAAAAAAGAGAAAAAAAATCCCACTGCTTAGGCCACACCTCATACCAATTAAAGCCAAATAGATGAGGGTGGGCCAGGTGAATCCAAAGTGCAGCCACACTTGCAACCCAGCACCCTATGACACAAGACCAACAGGGAGCCCGGCACATAGCAGAAAGCACGAGGCACAGACTTGTCTGCATCCTCCTTTTGTTTCATGAGAAAACAAACACAATTACAAGAGAAATGGGGCCCCTCAGGCCCAGCGTATTTAATAATCCTCAATGCAAGAGGGTTGAAAACTATCTGACACAGTCCCTAAATCAGTAAATTAGATTCAGATAAATAATGATCCAAAGGGGGGATTGTCATCTACCCCAAGGCCACAGTCAGATAACTAAAATTCCGGGTCCCCGGGTGAGTCTGAGAGGTGAGACCCTGAGAAAGGCAGCTGTGACAGGTGATGTCCGTCAGACACCAGCTTCTGGGCTGGCCCTGCTCCCCTCCCAGGTTCTGGGTGGGCAGGGAGAGCAGGCTTTGGCTCAGAAGAAGTCTAGAGGAACCTGAGTGGGGACTGGGACAGGCTCACTCAAGAGTTTTTGGAGGGAAATTCCTGCCGGCCTTGCCCCTTGCTGCCAAAGTAACGCACCCGATGGATGATCTGCAGCTGCTGCTCAATGGTGGCGGTGATGTTCACGTTATCGGGGATGTGGACGTAACGGACGTTCCGGCCTGTCACAAAGAGGTCGTCCAGCTGCACCTGATGCCCCCAACGGTCTGTGTAGGTGACCTGGGCCAGGCGGATGTTCATGAAAGCATCGACGTTGTCTATGCGTCCGTGGGCCACGCTCTCATCTCGCAGGTCCACGGTGGTGACCTGGCCCTGGAGGCCCTGCAGCAGGATGATCAGGCTGTTCTCAGAGATGGTCCGCTCCTTCACCGAGTGGCTCACCTCCATTCTTCCACGCCGTGGGCTGCTCGCTCTGGGAGGGGCACACACAGGGGAGCTGAAGCAGGCTAGGGAGTGTGGGTGCTCACTTACCGATGTCAGCTTTTAGCACAAAATCCCCAGCCCAGACTTCCCCAGGTCTGCCCACCAATTTTTATGTCTATGGAACACCCTTAGGTGCTTTCATGGACACACCTTATAGAATCTTCACAACACCTTGCAAATCAAGCATCACTTATACTCACTTTATAAACAAGGAAAATCAGGCCAGGAGAGGTTAAGTAACTGGCCCTAGGTGCTGGGATTCAAATTCATGGCTGCCCAGCTCCAATTCCCACACCCAGAGTTCTGAACCCTCATTGTGAGAATCACCCAGTGAGTTTCTGGTCACCACACCCCAGAGGATCTGATTCATTTGGTCAAGGGTGGGGCCCAGGTACCCTATTTTGTAAAAGCTCCCCAGGTGATTCTAATGTGCATCTAAACGCATAGACAAGGAGCTTGAGAACCACTCCTCTAAAGTGTAGTTTATACCCTTGCTGCTCAAAGTATGGTCTGTGGACCAGCAGTTTCAGCATCACCCAGGTGCTTGTTTTGGAATGCAGAATCTCCAGGCTTTTGCCAGACCTACTGAAAGAATCTGCATTTTAACATGAGCCCTAGATGAATCGCTTCACCAGTTCTCAGACATTAGTTTGCATCAGAATCATCTGCAGGAGGGATTAAAGGATTCCCCCCATCCCTTCTAACTCAGTCTGTTTGAGGTGGTGCCCCAAAATGTGCATTTCTAACATATTCTCAGCTGATGCTGATATTGCTGGTCTAGGGCCCACTGAGAACGACTGGTCCACACGATGCTGCTGCCCTGTAACCAGGAATTTAGACAACTGTAAAAAAAGGAAATGGTAGCATATACTGCACATAGGTATTGAAGGTAGAGGAACGGAGGTTGGAATCCCCACTCCACCCACACTCTGTAGACCTAGGCCAGTTACTTAATGTCTCTGAACCTGTTTCCACGTCTATTAAGCCAACAGGTGAGGTTAACAGGTTCTCACCACACTGAGTGTATCTTCCTTTGCTTTCGACATGCTTGGATGCTGTATTAATATAACTTTGTCTTATCCATCCCCCATTTTCAGACCTTGAGTGCCAGGTGTTTGAATTTCTTTCCTTAAGACTTCACTCAGTGAAGTAAGCCAGAAAGATAAAGACCAATACAGTATACTAATGCATATATATGGAATTTAAAAAGATGGTAACGATAACCCTATATGCAAAACAGAAAAAGAGACACAGATGTACAGAACAGACTTTTAAACTCTGTGGGAGAAGGCAAGGGTGGGATGTTCTGAGAGGATAGCATTGAAACAAGTATACTATCAAGGATGAAACAGATCACCAGCCCAGGTTGGATGCATGAGACAAGTGCTCAGGGCTGGTGCACTGGGAAGACCCAGAGGGATGGGAAGGAGGCGGGAGAGGGGATCGGGAAGGGGAACACATGTAAATCCATAGCTGATTCATGTCAATGTATGGCAAAAACCACTACAATACTGTAAAGTAATTAGCCTCCAACTAATAAAAATAAATGGAAAAAAAAAAAAGACTTCACTCAGGATCCCGACAGGGCTGTGCAGGGTGGCATGAAGTGTAGCAAGCTAGCTACCCACTCCACTGACAAGGTGCTAAGAGTTGGGCCGGAAGACTCTTAAAGACCCCACCCAGGTTTCACCAGGCGTATCCGCTCAAACGAGGTTTCGGGGAGCACAGTGACTGCAAAGAGGCAGATCTGGGCCCAAGGACCGGGCTCGGTCACTTCCTAGGAGGGTCGACCTCGAGAAAGCCACTTGGCTTCTTCAAGCCTGTTAGACCGTCCCTAGAGTGGGGATGGTGACGACCCTTTACTCACAGAGCGTGGGAGTGGGCTTGGGAAGAGGCGCTAAACTCAGCAACCGGGAGGAAGACGCTGGCCCCGCTCCCGCCGCCTCCGTGGTTCCAGGCTCGCTCGCGCTCCGCCCCTGGCTCCCCAGGACCGCCGCGCGGGTTCCTTCCGCTGTCCCGCTGCGCGTCGCCGCCGAAACTAGCGGGCGCCTAGCCGGGCGGCCTCCCTCTCGCGGCCGGGTTAAGACGCCATGGCAACGGCGGGGCCGCTCGGTCCTTCCGGAGCATCGAGAGCGCGGCCGAGCGCAGAGCTGGCGTCCCCCGCGGCGAGCCCGGAACTACAATCCCCAGAATGCCTCGCGGGCTCGAGACTCGCCCTCCTGCTGCCCCGCCTACGTCACTGGATTCTCTTCTCCTTTGGAATCATTCTTTCATTCAGCGAATGAAATAATAGGTTCCCTGGCGGCTCAGTTGGTAAAGAGTCCATCCTGCAATGGAGGAGATGCGGGTTCGAACCCTGGGTTGGGAAGATCCCCTTCTGGCAACTCACTCTAGTATTCTTGCCTGGAGAGTCCCCCGGACAGAGGAGAGTGGCAGGATACAGCCGGGGGAGTCGCCACCTGAGGCACCCCCTTCAAGGTGTGAGCGACCTCCGTTAAGTTGTGGCAGCAGCTGGCACGCTGGAGAAGTCCCATGAGTTAGGCTTAGGTCATTCCTCTAGCCCCTCGTTTACTGGTTTCAGCCTCTCTCAGAAACCACCCCTTTTTTGTCCTTCACCGCAGCTGGTCTCTTCTCATCCTAAAGATAGAAAACGTCTTTCTCCTCCCTGGCAGCTACTCTGTCTTCCTTCCTTCCACAGTTGAACCTCTCAGGAGAGGCCTCTGTATCGGTGATTCTCCAATTGGGAGTTCTTTTCCCAACCCCATTTCTGCGTGAGACTGGATTTTCTTCTTGTGGTGGTGGTGGTGGTTTAGTTGCTAAGTCGTTTCCGACTCTTGCAACCCCATAGGCTGTAGCCCGCCAGGCTCCTCTGTCCATGCGACTTCTCAGGCAAGAATACTGGAGGGCATTGCCGTTTCGTTCTCCATCTCTTCTTGTACTTCAGCCAGAACAACATAGCACGATGGGCCGAACGCAGAAGCAGATGTGAGAATCTGTCTTCTAGTAGGGCAGACATTAAACAGATTTGCAAAAATAAAAAACAGTGTCACTCTTCTCATCAAATTTTAAAAAAATACAGTTATTTTAAAATAGAAATATGATAATGGGCCTGTTATTGTCATTTGAAAGGAAATTAATTTTAAAATCTTATCACAATTTCATATATATGTGATTATATATATATATCCCACATAAACAAATACTTTAGTTTTCAGTAATTTTTTAAGAGTACAAAAGGGTTTTGAGACTCAAAATTTGAGAACAGCCGCTCTATCCTGAGGACTTTCACCTACTTACTCAGCTCACTGTAATCTGGCTTCTCAAGAGTATTTTTAGTTTTACTCACATTAACTTCTCTTGAAAAGGTTACTAATGATCTCCATGTACATAAGGGAACCTCTTATCTCCTTTCATTAAAAAGAAATTTATTTGACAGGTCTTAGTTGTGGCATATGTGATCTACTTCCTGACTAGAGATGGAACCCAGGCCCCTTGTATTGGGAGCGCAGAGTCTTAGCCACTGGACCACCAGGGAAGTCCCAGGGAACCAGTTGCCTTAATGTTATCTGGAATGCTTGTTAAACCCCACACCTACAGAATCAGGAGTAGAGCCCAGGAATCTGCACATCTAACAGTGCTCACTGATGTTGAGACCCGATGCCCTCCTAAAGTCAGACTCAGCGACTCCCAGGCAAGCCCTGCACTCTTGTCTCTGCCTTTGCTATTGTGCTCATCTGCCTGGGATCCTCTCTTGTTTATCTATAGATGTTAAGTCCAATCCCTCCTTCAAAGGCTGGCTGTACCTTTCTGAAGTCTTCTTTGATAATGCCAATTGGGAGTGAGGTTGATAGCATACTGCTTGATACATGTTTTCTTGGTGCATGCAGATTCACCATGGCTACTTATGTAAATCTCACCTCTCCTACTCATCTCTTGGGTGTTGAGACAGGGAGAAGGTCCTAGGAGGCTGAGATGCTTCACCCTACAAACAGCAGTTTCAGGAGGAACAATGGTTTTATGAATGTGGTGAGATGCTGGGATCTGAATGAACTGGTGGCAGTGGGATGGAAACAAGGTTAAAACCCCTGAAGAGAGTGAATCAGAATCCTTGGGGACTGATTAAACCTGGAGCTTGGTTTGCAGGAGGGGGAATCAATGATTTAAATTTTAATGCTGATGGCCCATTGACAGGAATGAGTGGTAGGGTTGGGAGGGGGTTCACGCCTGTAGAGGGCATCTCATTTTTTGGCTACACAGCCCACTGAACTCCTTTCCACACCTTTGGGGAGATCTGCCATTCTGTGAATTTCAGTGAGAGGTGAGTTTCTGTTCCCAACTCCAGATGGTTTAAAGGGCAGACATCGTCTCTGATCCTTGTCAGCTATGGCACAGGCTGGTGACCTAACCTTAGGCATTATCAGATTCCAAATCTGGAGCAAGGGACACAGACCAGCAGGAACTGTTGAGGCTTCATCTTGGTGTCTGCATCATCCAGCGCCTCATCCCTGCGGGTGCTGCTGCTACTGGCGTGCTCTCCCATGCCGCCTCTCCGTCCCTGGTTCCTGGCCATTTCGCATGGTCCTTCACTCATCCTGACAACTGTCAGTTGCCTGAAGCCCCTTCAGTAAATTCCTTCTCCATCGCAGTGAAGAATTAGTTCCATTTTTTATTTTTTTTGCAGTCTCAAACCCAGACTAGGGCCCACTTGAATTGAGTTCATTTCAGGATCCTTGTGAACTTTCCTGGTGGCTCAGATGGTAAAGCGTCTGCCTACAATGTGGGAGACCCAGGTTCAATCCCTGGGCCGGGAAGATCTCCTGGAGAAGGAAATGGCAACCCACTCTAGTATTCTTGCTGGAAAATCCCATGGACAAAGGAACCTGGTAGGCTGCAGTCCATGGGGTCCCAAAGAGTCGGACACAACTGAGCGACTTCACGTTCACAGGAGCCTTGAATTTCCCTGTTCCCTGTACATGATTTCATTGTGGTTCTGTATCCAGCAGTCAGAAGATACAGAATCCTGAGAGTCAGGGTGATTCCCAGGTCACCTGCTCCAACTTCCCACCCAGGGTCCAAATCCCCTCTCCAGCCTCCCCCACTGCTTGAGATTCCAGTGACCAGTAACTCACTCCTGTGCGAGGTGTTCTACGCCATCGTTAGGAAGTTTTGGGTAACTTCTATTCATTGCTTCTGGTTCTTTTCCATGGAGAACTGTCTTATTTTGTATTACATTCAAGCAGATTCCTCATGCCTTTTGAAAGTAAAGTGAATGTCCTGAATAAATAAAAATGACATCAATGTTAGACACTAAGCGTGAGGTGACGGAATGTCTCAGGAAAAGTGAACCTGCAGCCCAGAGAGGGGAATATGGAAATTTGTGAGTTAATAGTATGGGGTCAAAGTAATGGCCTCTCTGAAAAAAGGAATGCAAAATAGTCTGCAGAAGAATGCAGACTAAGCACTGCAGGGCACATAAAATATGTGGTCAGCATAGGGATGGGGGCGGTGAGAGCAAAGGATAGGGTGAGGGTGAGAAATGGAGGGAGGAGATGACAGCTGAGGTGAGAGTGTGGTGACAGGGGTGGGTGGGGGGAATGCCAGGGGTGAAATAAGGATCCTCCAGCAATTGCCCCAGCCATTCTGACAGACTTTGAAAAATGGCTACATCAACATCTGTATCAGAGGGCGATCTTCAATCAGAAGCCACCGAGGGGGGACTTCCCTGGTGGTCCAGTGGCCAATAAGACTCCTTGCTTCCAATGCAGGGGGCCCGGGTTCAATCCCTGGTCAGGGAACTAGATCCCACATACCAAAGCCAAAAGATCCTGCATGTCACAACTAAAGCTGAAGATCCTGTGTGCCATAACTAAGACCCAACATAGCCAAGGGGAAAAAAAAAAAAGAAGCCACTGAGGAAGAGAGGGGAAGTGTGGTCAGAAATTAGTAGGATTTGAACACAAGACATAGTAAGAAAAGGAGAAAAGGGTCTTGAACCAGGCCCAGGAGAATGGGGAGCAGAGAAGGCAGCTGAATCCAGCAAAGCTGGGGCTGGAGACTGAAAAGGGCCAGTGTTATGACAGAAGCTATGGAAGCGGGAGAGAGAGAGGTGAAGCAATATGGGAAGGCTGGAGAGCTGGTGGGTGGAGGAGGTCCTGGAGGAGCTAAGGCCAGGCTGCGTGCGATCGTGTGGGACCCACGGGCTCCTTGGAGGCCTTTCGCCTTTCGGTGAAGTTCTGAGGTGCAGAAAGGGGGCTGGGTAGGGGGTAAGAAAGGTAAATGATGTGCTGAGGTAGAAGGCAGAGGTGAGGGAAGGCATTCCACACAGGTTATTATCTTCTCAGTTGTAACTGAAGCTGGGAGGCCTTCTGGCTATCCAGAAAACCCGAGCTGAGGGCATCCTTGTTCTTCCCCTTAAATACATGAAAAAAGGAGAAGGCGAGGGTGGGATGATTTGAGAGAACAGTATTGAAACATGTATATTATCATATGTGAAACAGATCGCCAGTCCAGGTTAGATGCATGAGACAGGGTGCTCAGGACTGGTGCACTGGGATGACCCGGAGGGATGGGATGGGGAGGGAGGTGGGAGGGGGGACTCAGGATGGGGAACACAGGTACACCCATCGCTGATTCATGTGAATGTATGGCAAAAACCACCACAATATTGTAAAGTAATTAGCCTCCAAAAAGAAACAAAAAGAAGTTGGGGAATTTTACAGAGGAGGGTGGAGGGATCTGAAGCCAATGTGCACGTGGATTTAGGAGTCTTGGGTCTGCCCCCAGGTCTATAAAGCTTTGTTTATAATACTTGTCTTATCCTTTGTGTGTTTTAAAATTTTACATTTCAAGTAATCCAAAAATAAAGAGAAAACAATTTATGAAGTTTATAGACAGTGACTTTTGAAGAATTTTGTAAGAGATGTGAATTTAAACAACTTCTTTTATTGTAATTTCAGCTGTCTCTGTGATTTTCAAAAAGTCACTTTTTAAATAGTCCTCTTATTTTTCTCCCAGAATATGGGACTAGTGTTAATGACACACCCTGGCAGGTCCTTCACCTTCATAATGAGAAAAAAAGGCCACACCTCATTAGGCCTAATGTAACGGGTTTCCTGTGGTTTTGGGAACTAGCAGAGAAGATACTGTTATTTTTATCAGCAGAGGAACCACTGGCCAGAAACAAAAAGGATGTAGCATGTGTGTATGTGGGGTGGTGGTGGAGGTGTCAAGGTGACCAAAGAATCCAGAATGATTTCCATTGGCTCTTGGAATTCATCTTGACATTCTCATTTGAAAAGAGGTGGGCTATGATATGAGAATTTACTTTGCATTGAATCCTGAAGCTGGGTAGGGAAGATTCAACTGAGAAGAGGGGTCTCCAGCCCAGTCCCTTGAAAACAGTTCTTTCCACTCCCTCCACTGCCAGCTGTCCAGGAATTTGGCAGCAGAAGAGGAGTTTTCCAGGCTTGATTTAAGGGAAGAAGCATGTGCATGTGCTGAGATACCTCAGTTGTGTCTGACTCTGTGCGACACCATGGATTGTAGCCCGCCAGGCTCCTCTGTCCCTGCGGTTCTCCAGGCGAGAATACCAGAGTGGGTTGCCATTTCCTCCTCCAGGGGATCTTCCTGACCCAGGGATCAAACCTGTGTCTGTCTCCTGCATTGGTAGGTGTGTTCTTCACCACTTGCGCCACCTAAAGGGAGGAAGGGGTAGGTAAACAGTGTATTGATTTTTGGATTTTAATTTGGGTCTTTATAATTAGGTATTAGTACCTGAACCGAGAACTTCCAGATGTTCAAGTTGGATTTAGGAAAGGCAGAGGAACCAGAGATCAAATTACCAACATCCATTGGATCATAGAAAAAGCAAGAGAATTCCAGAAAAACATCTACTTCTGCTTCATTGACTATGCTAATGAAGTGGATCACAACAAACTGTGGAAAATTCTTTATTAAGAGATGAGAATAGCAGACCACCTTATCTGCCTCCTGAGAAAGCTGTATGCAGGTCAAGAAGCAACAGTTAGAACTGAACATGTAACAACACACTGGTTCAAAATTGGGAAAGAAGTGCATCAAGGCTGTATATTGTCACCCTGCTTATTTAACTTATATGCAGAGTACATCATGCAAAATGCCGGGCTAGATGAAGCACAAGCTGGAATCAAGATTGCCGGGAGAAATATCAATAACCTCAGATACATAGATGACACCATTCTTACGTCATAAAGCGAACAGGAACTAAAGAGCCTCTGATGAAGGTGCAAGAGAAGAGTGAAAAAGCTGGTTTAAAACTCAACATTCAGAAAACTAAGATCATGGCATCTGGTCCCATCACTTCATGGCAAATAGATGGGAATACAATGGAAACAATGACAGACCTTATTTTCTTGGGCTCCCAAATCACTGCAGATGGTGACTGCAGTCATGAAATTAAAAGACACTTGCTCCTTGGAAGAAAAGCTATGACAAACCTAGACAGCATATTAAAAAGCAGAGACATTACTGTGCTGACAAAGGTCTGTCTAGTCAAAGTCATGGTTTTCCCAGTAGTCATGTGTGGACATGAGAGTTGGACCATAAAGAAGGCTGAGTGCCGAAGAATTGATGCTTTTGAGCAGAGGTGTTGGAGAAGACTCTTGAGAGTCCCTTGGACTGCAAGAATATCAAACTAGTCAATCCTAAAGGAAATCAGTCCTAAATATTCAGAAGAACTGATGCTGAAGCTGAATCTCTAATACTGTGGCCACCTAATGCAAACAGCTGACTCATTTGAAAAGACCCTGATGCTGGGAAAGATTGCGGGCAGGAGGAGAAGGGGACGACAGAGGATGAGATGGTTGGATGGCATCACTGACTCAATGGACATGAGTTTGAGCAAGCTCTGGGAGATGGTGAAGGACAGGGAAGCCTGGTGTGCTGCAGTCCATGGGGTTGCAGAGTCAGATACGACTGAGTGACTGAACAACAATTAGGTATTGTGCTTAAAAGAAAAAAGTATATATATACTTCCCCCCTGGAATTTGCATTTGTCTTTCTACAGTTTCCTGTGACTTGAATTTGTCTCCATGGATGTAAACCAGAGTGACACACCTGTTGGAAGGGGATGAGGGGATCTGATCCTGTTTAGACTCAGGGATCTCCAGGATCTGGTTGTGATGCTAAAATGTGTTTCTTGCCTACCAGGATCTGGGTGTAAGGAAAAAAGTGAGTTAATCTTGCCTGGCATGACTTTCATCTTTGAACTGAGGGCTAAATACATTTCCTCCCTTTCTTCCTGCCCCTTCACTCTCCATTTTTAAAATAATTTTTATTTAGTTGTTTTTGGCTATGCTGGGTCTTCTTTGCTGCTCGTGGGCTTTCTTTAGCTGTGGTGCTCAGGCTTTATTGCAGTGGCTTCTCTGGTTGCGGAGTACCGGCTCTGAAGCACACGGACTTTGGTAGTTGTGTCCTGAGGGCTCAGCAGCTGTGGGGCACGGGCTTAGTCGCTCCGTGGCGTGTGGGATCTTCCCGGACCAGGGACCAAACTGGTGTGCCCTGCATTTCAAGGTAGACTCTCAACCACTGGACTGCCAGGGAAGCCCCACTTTCAATATTTTATTATTTTCTCTTTTTTTTTCAGTCTCAATATTTTAAAAATATTTGGGGATTCCCTGGTGGTCCAGTGGCTAAGACTCTGAGATCCCAATGCAGGGGACCTGGGTTTGAGCCCTGGTCAGGGAACTAGATCTCACATGCTGCAAATACATAAATAATTTAAAAAATATTTGGCTGCACCAGGTCTCAGTTGTGGCACACAGGGTCTTCGGCCTTTGTTGTGGCATGTGAGATCTTTAGTTGCAGCATGTGGAATCTAGTTCACTGACCATAGATTGAACCGGGGCAGAAATACCCCCAAAGCATGGAGCTGGGGGGAGGCATGGGTAAAATTCCAATTGTCAGATCCCACCTGGGGCAGGGCCTAGGAATCTGTAAACTCACCAACTTAGCTGGGGCAAGCTGGCTTTGAGTCAATGAACTAGTTCTTTCTGTTTCTTACAGATGAGGGAAGGAACTGAGGCTTGTTGAGGGAACTGCCCAAGATGCCATGGCGAATTCGGGGCAGGGATGGGGATCCTGGTGCCCCTTCCCTTGGAGCAAACTGGGCAGTGCTGTGTGACACCCTCAGAACCCAGGTGAAAGGGTTAGTCACTCAGTCATGCCTGACTCTTTACGACCCTGTGGACTGTAGCCCTCCTGGTTCCTCTGTTCATGGAATTCTCCTGGCAAGAATACTGGAGTAGGTTGCCATGCCCTCCTCCAGGGGATCTTCCAAACCCAAGGATCGAACCTGGGTCTCCTGCATGGCAGCCACCAGGGAAGCCCTCACACCCCACAGCCTGGTGCTAAATGAACAATGATGTCTTGTCAGTACTCAGTCCAGATTCTTGCCAGAGTAATCCTTGTCTTCTTTTTCCTTTGCCCCCTCCCAACTCCCCTGCTTTTTCTGGGTGCCCTAAGCCACAATGCAAATAAACTTGTTTTTCTCAACATCTGTGTAAGACTAGAGACACGAAACTCAAAGATTGCCTCATCAGCAGGCTGCCTTACCAGAGATCTGTATCTTGTTTATTCACTGAGACAACAGGCAGGTTTGAAATCATCGGCATGGCTCTGGGATAGGTGGAGGGAGGAGGCTGCCTCTCGGCCACCCGTGGCCCATCTCCAAGGCCCCAGGACACGCTGGGAGCAGATGGTGAAGTTCAGGTCGGTCACAGTGCAGTGGCAGCCAGACCCAGGACAGGGCCTTCCCCTGCACTTGTCATCTGCTTACAAGAGAATAAAACTGAAGACACTTTGTAAGCCTGTAAGAAGCAGTTTGGGGTCTCCCAGGTGGCTCAGTGGTAAAGAACCCGTCTGCTAAGGCAGGAGATGTGGGTTCCATCCCTTTGTTGGAAAGATCCTCTGGAGGAGGGCACGGCTACCCACTCCAGTATCCTTGCCTGGAGAATCCTCATGGATAGAAGAGCCTGGCAGGCTACGTCCATGGGGTCTCAAAGAGTCAGACACAACTCAATAACAGCAACAACAGATCCAAAGCCTATGCCTTGGGTAAGCTAAACGATGGGTACCCTGACCCTTGCTTTCCAGAAATATGTTTGCCTCCACTCTTACTAGGGTGCAGGGGTCCCGAGTGGTGCTGGTTGGCTCAATCTCAGGCAGTGACCAGCTCAGCTCAGTTCCTCTCCCACCCTTGCCGTTCCAGATATTGCTTCCAGGAGACTGAATGGACCTTAACCTCTGGATGTTGGCTGACCTCGAGCTGCCAGTTCCTCAGTCCAGGATGAACATGAGGGGGAGGGCTGACCCTCCTTCCTGAAGCAAGGAGGGCAGCCCTGGCCTGAGACATTTCTCATGGATCCAAATTAGACTTGGCATCCTGCCAAGGGAAGTATTGACTAACTCATCTGGTGCACGGAAGGGAAAGTGTTACACCACATGCTTCCCGCACGTCCAGCTTACAGCTCTGCCTGGCCGCTGATGGTGAAGCAGAGGAGATGGCTGTCATGGTAACTCATGCTGGGCGCCTTTAGAAGGCAAGAACGCTAAGTGGCAGAGGAAGACTCTGGGGGTAAGGAGGACGTATCACGCTAAAGAGCGAACACATTTCCATATGGGATAAGCCCACACCACATATGGGTGGAGAGACATGTGGAGAACCACAGACACCCACAGGCTCTGTGCGGGGCCTGCGTGAGGAATCCCCTGTCACGGCCTTGCTTCCTCTGCGTCTGAGGCGACAGCTCCCGCTGTGCCAGGCTGCATAAACTGGGCTCCAACAGTTTGAGGTGATTGCCTTTTCCCCTTATGTCAGACTCACAAGGCAGAAGTCATCCCAGAAAGCTCTGAAATTTTGTGACGATCCTTGGGCCTCTGTGAGCGGCAGGTCCCCCTGAGCCAAGCTCGTCATGAAGATGGCAACAGGAGCGCTGTCTTGCTGATTCTGGGCTCCAGATGCTCCGAGTGCCATAAAACCAGGAAGAAAACGGGGAAGGGTCCAATTTCAAAGCCATAATATATTTTGCTGAAAATATGGATATGTGTGTTGCCTTCTGGACAGTGTGCTCCCGAGGGAGAGCCGCACAGTTTCTTAGGATGGAAAGGGGAACAAGAGGGTAAGGGCTTCGCTTAGTAGAAAACTAGCAGCATCGTGTGGTCCCCGGGGGGCACCCCCGGGGTCCTCTCAAGCAGCTTCTCTGCAGGGGCAGGGGCGCCTGGTCAGCGCAGCTATAACTCATCCATCATGGCGAGCAAGTCGTCCCCCTTGCTGGCGCTCCGCCTCGACTGGTCTGTGATCTCAAACTCCCCCATGATCCGCGCCAGCTCTTGGTTCGTCTGCTGGTCCTGTGAGAGGAGTGAGAGGAGGGAGGGAATGAAGAAACGTGTGGGCATGACGGCCTCTCTGTGCAGCTGGTGGTTCATTTGCCCACCCCCGGGATGCACTTCGGTTCCTCGCCTGTTTGTCAGGATAGGGACTATGTTACGTGCTGATTAGAGAGGAAGGCGGAGGGAGGGCCTTTGAAGTTCAATGTTATTATAAGAACAGGAGGGGAATGAGATTTGACTTGTATAATCGCCTGCACGCACCTGAGTAGCTTGGATGTTGATAACTTCGTAGGATAACTCTTCTGGCCTGGTGAGCGCTGCTTGTCTGTACAAGAGGGTCGAGAAACAGAGCAAAGGTTAGGATTTTTCTCCCTGCCAGTGTGGCAAATTGGTCCTTGATAATCTGGTAACCTATTTTTTTTTCTCTCTCTTCAACTTTCTACCCTTTCCCCCACCAATGCACCCTACGCTCCAGGAAGGCAACTCCTTTTATGTGTCTGTGCTTTTGCACACACTAAACTCTGCCAAGAATAACTTTTCCCCTTCCTCTGCTTGGCAAACTCCGAGACCCAGCTCAGTTGCCAACTTCTTCAGTCTGCTGGGGCCAAGTCAGTCCCCGTGTCCCTCACTGGAGCGCGTGTGACATGGCGCTGGAGGGACTTGTGCACATGTCCATGCTCTTACAACGCTGGGAGCACTTGAGGACTCCAGGTGTTGTGCTCCATCCTTGGGTCCCTGTACTTACCACAGTGCCTGCCACTCCAACGGAGAGAGAAATGGAGGGCAACCAACCCCCCACCCCAAACATCTGGTTGTGAGAACAGTCGCATGAGATAATGAATGCAGAAGTTCTCTGGAAACTGTAAAGCACTGTGTAAGTCTCAGTGAATTACTACCACTATAGGTTCTGGGGGAGACTGCTCATCCTGAAGATGTCATGCTCCAACCTTCTTTTGGTTTCTTAACAGTCTTTTTTTAAATATGATTATCTTGACTTTCAATTCTCTTGAGCTGTGCTTTGCTAAATAAAACATTAGAGCTACTTTTTGAACGAATGCAGAAGAGTCAGACTAATACTAGTGGATTCTTCTTTAAGGTTGTTGAGTTTGCTGATCTTTCATTTGTGATCTTTATGTACATCTGTGTTTATAAGTGATAAGAACCACTTATTTGGTTTATGATGGTCATTTTTTGATTCTCATCACACTTGGGATTTTTATATAGGTCTTTAAAGAAACAGGTTGAAAACATACTCCTCCTCTTCATCAGTGGTGAAGAGATTCAACCGGAATCCTGGCTCAGGGCCACTGGGTTTCTGAATCCCCATGCCTCCTATCAGCCTGGCCAGGAGATTCAGCTCTTCTTTAGCAAGAGGGTTTGGAACGATGCTCTCCTGCAAAATCAATTTCATGATTTTTAGCCACGTGAAGGTGATTCAGTTCCCTGCTGATACCCCAGAGATCCAGGGTGGTATTACAAAACAAGGCAAAACAGTCACTGTCTGCATGATTTCTGGGAAGAATTGGATCTACATGAAGCATAGAAAACAGAACCAGAAGAGAAATAACCCGGGTCAGAAGCAGAGGGACTCTAGCAAGGCGACGAGCCAGAGATTCTCACACTTTCAAGATGAGTGGGAGGCTCCAGGGATCCTCACTGTCCTCAAACCATCTTCCTCCTCGAAGGAGAACACTGCTTCCTCTCCAGGCAGTCTAGTTCCCCCAGCCTTTCCCCGTGGCCTGGGTAGAAGCCTCCAGGTCCAAGGGCACTCGTTCCACGGGAGCGACCACACTGCCCTCCGGTGGTGACCGGTGAGCACACCCTCGAATCCCTTCTCTCCCGCGGCTCCCTCTCTCACGGCCCGGCCCCACTGCAGCCTGCACCCTCCTCCTACCTGGCTCTCTCTAACCCGGCGTTTCCCCTGCTTCGCGCCCGTGTGCCTGTCTGGGCAGGTCTCTGGCCACCGCCACTATCGCCTTATGAGCCAGCTACCCGAGAGGGATGCTGACTGCCTGCTTCCCCCGAGGAGCATGCCTCTGGTGCCTTTGCTGGTCCTGTTATCGTGGTTTGTGTGCCTTTTTCTCCTTCTGAGCTGTTTAGCATCTGCCTCACTCCAGAGCCCCACTTGAATGTCACCTCCTCCGAAAAGCCTTCCTGGTCCCTGTCTAGGGGTTCCTTCCCACCCCCTGGATAGGGTATGTGTTCTGACACAGCTCCTTGCTCAGAATGCTCAGCCAGTTCACCTTCTGTCTTCCGTCAGGTTATAGTTATTTGTTCCTATCGCTGTCTTTATAAGCCTAGGGTGTTACAAGGCCCTTCAGGATGGGACCAAATCTAAGCCAGCTCTGTGTCCTGGGAACCACCCCCCTCGCCATAGACATAGTTCCATAAGTGTTTATAGCATAACTGAATATCCATGATTTGGCCTATAGCTAGCTGATAGCTAGTTCAGTGAAAATTTGTACAAAAGAATTCAGAGAACCCAAACCCTATTTTGAACCCAACTTTCACATCATTACACAGGGAGCAGGGAAAGGGGATGTTGTAATGATCAGATACACACAAGTGCTGAACTCAGCAGCCACGGACCTCACAGCACTGGTACAATGCTGTTTCACATGTCCTTATGTGTGGTTCCTGTTTAATTAAGGTGGTGGAGACAAGCTTAAAATTACCTAATTAGTCAGATCACTGGAAGTCTCCATGAGAAGCTGTAATTAAAAACCTGTATACTGGTAAGGCGGAATGGAAAAGACTGCAAACAAGGAGGGAACCTTGGCCAGCTCTGAACTCTAGAGACCCCTCCCTTTTCCCCATCCAGACTCTTGTAGCTAGAAATGAGCTCTGAAGATAAACACGGGAGGCAGAAGCTCACCTGTGTCTGTGAAGCTAAGTTCTTTGATGCTGCAGACATGTGGGTTTCCACGGGCCGGTTCACGCTATACCTGGTGGCAACGGAAAACCATGAAAACATTGTCCAGGCTATTTACCCTGACTTCCCTCTAACTCGTAAATATAGTGCATAGCTTTTACCTTGAGGTATTAAAAAGCATCCAGAAAGGTACTAGGGATACAGACTATAACTAAGCGGGTGTCAACCACTTAAGTTTTGCTTCTTCCCAAAACAAAATACCTAGGAAGCTGTATGGAAATTTTTCTCTTGCCAAGTAATGTATATTTCTGGGAAAAAAACATGATCGGTACATGAAGGCCAAGGCCTTTTGGGTCTCTACTGCATTAAAGGTTTTGGCTAGTTCTCTTGTATGGCTATTTTCAGGTATTTATCTTTTTGGCCTGTTAATCTACCTTCTGGTGGAAGGTCCAAGGTGCCCTTTGGAAATGTCAGGGCCCTGCTTGCCGTGTCTCTAAGGGGAAATTTCTTCAATTGTCAGCAGGGGCTTTTCACTGCAGAAGTCTGGCCACTTTTTTAAATGAAGGGATCTCTGGAATTCATTTGGGGAAGGAAGAATTTGCTTACATATTAGTTCCCAGTTTCAGGACTCGGTCTCCATAGAGCTCAAGAGACCCTTCTTTGAGGGCAGCGACATAGTTTCCACCATGCTTAAACTCTGTCTTCTTCACTTCTTCGCCTTTGCTGTTGAATGTTCTGCAAGACAAAGTAGGACATGATGGGACTTCCCTGGTGGTCTAGTGGTTAGGAATTCACCGTGCAATGCATGGGTTTGAATCTTGGCTGGGGAACTAAGATCCCATGTACCACAGAGCAACTAAGCCCGCACGCTACAACTACTATACCTGCACGCTCTGGGCACTAAGACTAGAGAGCCCATGTCTCCACAGACGATCCCACATGCCACAACTAGGACCTGATGCAGCCAAATAAATAAATATTAAAAAAAGAAACAAAGTAGGATCTGATGACATGCTCTCCAAGCTTGGACAGTCCCGGAGGCTTCATTATTCTTTGTACTATGGGACCAAAGGGAATTTATACATTGCTTCAAGATAAAGATGCTAGCTGATGTAATGATGTGTGTGTGTGTGTGTGTGTGTGTGTGTGTGTGTGTGCGCGCGCGCGCTCAGTCTCATCTGACTTTGCAGCCCCAGGGACCGTAGCACACCAGGCTCCTTTGTCTGTCGAATTTTCCAGGCAAGAATACTGAAGCGGGTTGCCATTTCCTACTCCAGGGGGTCTTCCCAACCCAGACCCAGGATCGAATCCATGTCTCTTGCATCTCCTGCATTGGCAGGTGGATTCTTTACCACTAACGCCAGCTGGGTGATAGTAATACAATAATAATGATAATAATATTTATTGAGTATATGCTATGTACTGGGTGGTGTGTAGCACTTTAGAGCATTACATTATTATTTTATTCATCCTCACAGTAAACATTCAATAGATGAAGAAATAAATCTTGCAGTATCTGTTAGGTGACAAGCTGGGATTAAACCTTACCTCCTCTCTGCTGTGCTTAACTGGAGAAAGGGAGGGGCCGACCAGGTCTGCAGTCTATGTGGCGGCCCACATATTGGTTTCCCAGCATCCTGAACACTGGTCTGACAATTACCGTTGAGCATTCATTTACCTGATGAGTCCAGGGACTTCAGTTCCCCAGGGAACGGGCCCAGACGCTGGCAACACAAAGCGACCATTGGAATTCTGAACTTTGTCCTTTAGAAATATGGATACCTGGGGGGAAGAAAAAAAACTTGGTGTCATTTTCTTGGCATATTTCCATAGACATATGCATTCTGAGGATGGGAAGTGTGTAATGGCTTAAGACAAGAGAGAAAAACACACCCTAACAAACCCCTGCGGAGTCCAGTGCTTGTACAAACAGAACCTCTTTGGAGCCACATAACACATCCTCCAGGTGGGCAGTGCTGCTGTGCTGTGCTTAGTCGCTCAGTCGTGTCCAACTCATTGTGTCCCCATGGACTGCAGCCCGCCAGGCTCCTCTGTTTGTGGGGATTCTCCAGGGAAGAATACTGGAATGGGTCGCCATGTCCTCCTAAAGGGGATTTTTCCTACCCAGGGACAGAACCCAGGTCTCCCGCATTGCAAGCAGATTCTTCACCATCTGAGCCACCAGGGAAGCCCAAGAATACTGGAGTGGGTAGCCTATCCCTTCTCCAGAGGATCTTCCCGACCCAGGAATTGAACCAGGGTCTCCTGCATTGCAGGCGGATTCTTTACCAACTGAGCTACCAGGGAAGCCTGTGGTAGTGTGACCCCTACCTTCACGATGAGGAGGTTGGGGTTCACAGGGTGAAGCGACTTGACCAGAAAGAACATTAAGAGTCGGGACCAGGATTCAAAACCAAGGATGACTTCAAATTCCATGTCCATTCCTTGGTTCCTTGCAAACTCTCCATATAGATCTGAGGCTGGAGCTGTTAAGACCCTCATTATCTCCTCAGAGGTTAAGACACTCCCTCCAGGCCCGCCAGCTCATAAGGGGCAGAGCTAAGGATTCACACCCTTGTGTTTCTGACTCCAAGCTCTCAGCAAAGTGCTGGACTGGTGAGAAGGGGCCGGCCGGGTGGATCCAGCTGGCATAGAGTCTGAAAGTCTACTATGTGACTGAAAACCCCACTCTATGCTTATTTCTATTCCTTGCTTCATGTACTCTTGTATCGAGGTCTTGGTTGAATTAAATCCCATCAAGATTGTAGTAGTCCACCAGTTTTATTGGGGAGTTTCCTGGCAGTCCAGTGGTTAAGACTTGGTGCTTTCATTGCAGGGGGCCTGGGTTCAGTCTCTGGTTGGGGAACTGAGATCCCAGAAGTTGCACAGCATGGCCAAAAAAAAAAAAAATCAGTTTCTTCTTCATCTTTAAAGTGAGATAAACTTGAAGGTTCCTTCAAACTCTTAAAATTCCACAAGATTATATCAGTAACACTGCCAAGAATAAGCATCTGTTGCACGCAAGGCAGTGAAAGTGCAAAGTGGTAAGGATGCGTACCCTGGCAGTGTGGCCTGCCGATATTACACTGTCCAGGCTCACAGCTCAGCTGGGCCTCTCCTTGACTCTGGGTCTTTTGGTAAGTTACACTACCTTTCTCTTTGGTCAACTGAGGATAGTAACAGAACCGATTCAATGGGTTAGTTGAGCACTAAATCAGATAATGAACAAAAAGTACTTTCCACAGAGCCTGACGCATAAGTGCTCAATAGAAGGTAGCTAATATTCTCAGTATCATAGTCTGATTGGACGCAGGACACAACATAGAATGCAAAAACAATGACACTATAAGAAATGGTATGCTGCATATGCAAAGGAGCCCACTCAAGAGAATGACCACAGGCAGGGGGGTGGGTAGGGGCCATTGTGGGTTTGGAGCTGGGCCTGGAGGGTGGGTGTGAAGACACTTCAGAAACACAGAAAGTGAAAGTCACTCAGTCGTGCCCGACTCTTTGTGACACCACTGACTCTACAGTCCATGGAATTCTCCAGGCCAGAATACTGGAGTGGGTAGCCTTTCCCTTCTCCATGGGATCTTCCCAACCTAGGGATTGAACCCAGGTCTCCCGCATTGCAGGTGGATTCTTCATCAGCTGAGCCACAGTGGGCGGGCAAAAAGGCATGTTTTGGGGGAAGTGTTTACACTGGTTTGGTTGGAGGGTTTGGCTTTAAGGAACTTATAACCTTGAGATTCTGTGACCACGGGATATGAATACAAGCAAGGAGGAAGAAAATTCTGAGAGAGAAGTGAGACTTTATGCATGTTTTGGACTTTCTGGTTAGTTAATTCTAACAGGGGTGACAATGTCACAGACCCGAAATGTACAGATTTAGTCAAGCATGTGTCTGGGTTTGACCTGAAGATCTGCCCTTGGCTGGAGGGGACTGTTTGGTCTGCCTGCTTGCCCAGCCCCTCTGCTGACCCTCAGCTTCCCTGTGACTCTCCTGTGCCCTGTTCCTCTCACTCCAGCCTTTTTATTCCGAGTCTAGTCCCATGGGCCAGTGTTCACCTCAGTGCTGATGGCTCCCAGGTCTGCAGCCTCCACTCAGTCTTCTTTCCCGTCTATTCCCACTGCCTGTTACACATGGCTGTGGACCCATGGGAAGCACCGCCAGTTCACCCTGCTCAGAACGGGGCTCCACCTGTCTTCCCTAACCTGACCCCTCTGAATGATGCCACCAGGTTATCAAGTCAGCAGTCTTGAGTCCTCTGCCCGCCACCTTCCCATGGCTATTCAGTGGCCAGGCCCTGCTCACCCAGCGATCATTTCTGTGTCTGGTCCCTCCTCTCTGCCCTGCTCCCCAGCACGGACCTTCATCACCTCCAGCCTGGCCACGGCAGAGCCTCCCTGCCTCTGCCCTCAGCCGTGTTGGATCTGTCCTCCACTCTGCTGCTAGAGAGACTCTTCTCAGCTCCTCTCTGACCGTGCTCCTCTCCTGCTTCGCTGGCTCAGCTGCCTGCCAGATGATGTCCAGCTGGCCCCTGATCCTCTCTGCAGCCACGCTCCTCCTCAGGTCCTAGCTTCTAGCCATGCTAGACTGCCTGCAGCCTTCCGGCCCCTGATCTGCCAGTCATGCCAGGGGGTTACCTGATGGTGCTTTACAGGATGGTGTCCTCCTAACCCCTCCTCTTGTTTTCCCACGGTCCTGGGGAAAAACCTCTTTCCTTTAACGCTCTCGGATCCTCTGTGAAGACTCCCTGATGCCCTTAGGTGGAGGCGGCCATGCCCCACACTGTGTCCTCTCTCTTTTCTGGGTCAGAACCAAACATCCGTACGGCACTTAGCACACCTTCCCTTCTCGGATGAGGTCCTGAGGGCAGGACACGTGTTTCCTATGGAAAGACGGATGAAAGTTGCGGAGCTGCGGGGCGGGCGTGCTGGATGCCCCATGAGCGCCCACACTCCCCAGGATGATGGCGGGATTCACGTGGCTGGGAGGAAGTGAGCCAGGGAGGTAAATGCTTGGAGAATGTGAGTGAGTGACTTGACAGTTGGTTTCAACTGTGAGGGCTGAGTGTGGGGCTTCGGACAGTGTGATGGTTGCTGGTCTGGCCTTACAAGAGGAGGGCTAAGAAAATAGCCCTGCCTCCTGTGGAGGCAGGAAAATAATGATCCGAAAGAGAGGTGGAAGCTGGTAGAATGACGACCCTGCTTCTTGCAGTCTGCCTGTGGATGAGGGAGAATGACCGGCCACCTTCAGGTGGTGAGAAGACTTTGCATATCGCCTCCCTGTTGCATGCTAGGATGCCCACATTTATGTCTCTGGTTTGTCTCTCCCCTCTGAGCTCCAGGTTTAGGCATTCAACTACCTATTTGACTCTGCTACTCAGAGAGCAAATCAAATGTAAACAGAATTACTTTTTCTACTCAAATATCCTTCCTTCTGTCCTTCCCCTACTCAGAAAATGGCACCAGCAACCGAGTAGCTGTTCTTCATCCCTCTTTCCCTCATTCCCCACATCTAATCTCTGAGTAAATCTTATTGACCCTGCCCTGAAGGTGAATATGTGAATATTTTCATTATCTCCACAGCAAACACCTAGTCCAAATGCTTTCATTTTTACCTAGATCTCAGTTTTTTTACCTAGATTTTATAACTGCTGGCCTACCTCTTTTAGTTCATTTTCCAGATCCAGGTCAGATCATGTTACCAATTCATCTTAAAATGCTCCAGATCTTTTCTTTACTCTTAGGATAAACTCCTTACTAGAGTCTAAAGCTAAGTCAACTGGTAGGTAGGAACCAGTTTACTCATGACTGGCGGGTCTTCTGCTGGGTGAGCACTCACACTACCTAGGTGGTTAACTTTATTTGAATACCGCCCGAGCCTAGACATGCCCTGTTCACACAGCCTTTCTCTCTGTCCATGGAGTGTGTCGCGCTTTTCCCACCTAATGGCCTTTGAACTCACTGTCCCTTCAGATTAGAAGCTCTCCCCTGAGATCTTTGTTAGTTACACTCTTAGCTGAAATGTCAATCCTCAGAAAGGCTGTCCTTGCCTCTACCATCTAAGGATATACTGCCCAGTAAGGTAGCTATTAGTCAAGTGTGACTATTTAAATTTAGATTAAATTAACAATTCAGTTTCTCTGTCTGATGAGCCATGTTTCAAGTACCCAACAGCCCTATGGGGCTAGTGGCTCTCACGGTGGACAGCACGGATACAGAACACTTCCATCATGACAGGAAGCTCCGTTGGACAGCACAGGTCGGAAGCAATATCCCATCCCAGTTCCCTCCTGTAACTTGACCTTATAAGGCCATCTTCCTGAGAATGATCAGTACTGGAACACAACTTAACGTGTCCTCGTGGTCCCTTACTACTGGTATGGAGCCTTGTCAGGGCAGGGCCTCTGGCTCGTTCACTTCTATATCTCAGGACCGAAAATGACCTGGAGTGGAGCAGGCACTCAGTACATATTTGTTAGACTAGTTTTCCAGGGATGCAGTGTTTCCAAGTGGAGTGGATAATGGAGTGGAGCTGTAAGGACCAGGCTGTGAAGAGGTGAAGATGGAGTGCTGTTTCCCAACTGGAACAGTGGACGCACAGGAGGAAAGTCCGTGATAGAAGATGCACACATGCGGAGGGGCGTTCGGGAGAGTGTGGGTGACCTGAGGGTCTGCCCTGTAGGAGGCAACTCTGAAGGCGCTCTGGAGGGCTGAAGGGGTTGGGACTTGAGATGTCTGCACATAACTGCTCTGATTCCATATGGAATCAGTCTCTGTGCAGCCTCTGGGGCCTAGGGCACAGGTCAGGGCCTTGACCATATTAAGGCCACTTCAGGCTGCTTTTGTTTTTAATCTTTATTTATCATTTATTTGGCTGCTCTGGGTCTTAGCTGCGGTACATAGGATTTTCAGCTGTGGCATGCAGGATCTAGTTCCCTGACCGAGGATGGACCCTGGGCCCCCTGCATTGGGAGTGCAGAGTATTGGTCACTGGACTGCCAGGACAGTCCCACGTCAGGCTGCTTTGTGATATATCACAGAAAGCTCTGGACGTTAGGATGTGGAGTCTTGTATTTGCTTTGGTTAAACAATGAGCAACGGAGTGTTAGGTCAGAGCTGTGTTTTCTTGATTTAGTTGGTTGGTTTTGCTAAACAATCTAAAAACTACCAAGATTGTTTTGAACACAGAGAAAATCTGTATAGGCAATCATAAAGAGCAGCTGAGCAGAAATACCATTAAAGGCCAGATTTGGAAAAGCAGCCAGATGTTACAGACCAGAGGCTGAGTAACGTCAGGATATGTGATTCCTATTTCTCTTGATGAACATTCTGATGTTTTATTGCCTGCCCATTTAGCAATGAAAGCTTAATGTAGTTTGTGGTTTAATGTATTTTAATGATTTTGTTATAGACTTATTATTAAGAGTCTTCTCATCATAATGAATTTCATCTAGCCAGAACTGAGAAATCAATATGGCTGCTTGTATTACAACGATCCATAAAATATTGTCCAAATATGCACAGGCTTGACAGCCATAAGATGCAGGGTTTTCAGTATTTTAAAGTAATGTAAAACTTAATCTTATTTGTACTTTCACATTTTTAATTTTAATTGATGACTATTAGAGATCTTGATTTACATCGATGTTATTATTGCTCCATCCATAGCAAATGAAATTATTCATGAGGGTTAAAAATAAAATTGGCCTCAGCATTGTCATCTATTTGTCTTTCCCTGTTCATAGGAGGGAAATAACAAGGTTCTAAGTATATTTTATATATTTCCTTTTTATTTTTTGATTTAATATTATTATTATTTTCTGGCCATACTGAGCAGCATGTGGGATCTTAGTTCTCCGATCTGGAATTGAACCTGCGCCCTCTGCAGTGGTCCCTATTTCTCTTAAAAAAAAAAAAAATTCTGTGAATATGTTACACATGAACATGTTCAAGATTCAAAAAGTTCAAAGAGTGGGACTTCCCTGCTGGTCCACTGGTTAGGACACTGTGCTTCCACTGCAGGGGGCACGGGTTTGATTCCCTGGTCAGGAAAACTAAGATCCTGTGAGCTTCTCAATGTGGCCAAAAAAAAAAAATAAGTTCAAAGAGTATACAAAGGAAAGTAGGTCTCTTCTGCATCCCTGTCCTCCATGCACTTCCCCACCCCCAGGAGGCAACCACCACAACCAGGTTCCTGTTCCTCCTGCCAGAAGCACTCTATAGTATATACATATATATATGCAAACACATATGTTACATGTGATGCTTCACTTAATCCTCCTGACAAACTCTAAACCAGGTATTACTGTTTCCATTTCTCAGATGGTGAAACTAAGGCCGCAGGGAAGTAATTTGCCCAAGGTCACGGAGCTGTGCCGGAGCTGGGATTCAAACAGGAGCGCCTGACTCTAGCAGCTGGGCTCATGGTGGGTGTCTGTCCTGTACCAACGTGCTAAATTATGGGAAGGAACAAAGTCCTCGCCAAGAGAGACAGGCCCCAAAGTCAGAAGCTCAGACATGTGGTTTTTCAAACTTGGAGTGTAGAATTGTCTGGAGGAGATGTGAGAGGAGGTGGTAGGGTCAATTGCGAGGCAAGGGCCAATAAAAAGTAGGAAGGCCTGAGCTGAGGGACCGGAGTGGACAGGAGGGCATGGATATTGAAGAGGCAGACTTGATGGGCTGCAGACACAGTCAGATGAAGATCAGAGAAGGGAAACCAAAGGTGTGATGGCCTGGGGCTGAGCCAGATGAGTGAGGGAATGGTGGTTCTCTCAAAAGAAACCAGGAAGTTAGGCAGGACTTGAATTCTGGAGACTTGTTTAACTGCAGACATGAGGCTGTGGGCACTGGGGGAACTTTTCAGCATCAGGTGGAGAGGTGGATCTTGATGGCAGGGCTGGGGCAACGGGGATGCAGAGTTTTGAAGTAGGAGTCACCACAGATGGAGGAGTTAGTTGGCAGCCGAAGTGGGGAGGAGAGTGACTCAAGAGCAGGGGGTGGGTAGAGGCAGAAGGGGGAAGGCTTGGAGACAGGAGGAGGGGAACAAGGACTAAAAGGCGGAGAGATGGGGGAGGTTAGGGAAGGCCGAGATGGGGACAGTTCCATGGAGCAAGAGGGACGCCTCCTGACAGCTCAGATGCTGAAGTCAAGGCGATAAAGGCTCCAGAAAAGGTTTTGGAATTGAGATCAGGCTAGGGGCCTGGAGAAGCAAGGGAAGAAGCCATATTTTAAAGAAATGTACAGAAGGTAACTGGGAGGGAATGGTGGTATCACTGTCCTGCTTGGGCCCTTGAAAAACTGCAGAGATTTATCATCAGACAGCTGATCATCATGGAACCAAACACGGAGGACGTGCTAATGGGGCGGAATCCCAGCCTTGTCTGCCCTGACGACTCGTGCCCTGTCTCGTGAGGACGGCAGCGCAGGGCGCTCCCGGGCCACCCACTCACTCACCCGGATGTGCAGGTCCTGGAAGAAGATGAGGAGTGTCTGTCGGATCAGCTGGAACTCCCCCGCAGAGAGGCCCCCGTATATCTGTGCAGGCAAAGCAGAAACAGGCATTCCGCTTTCAGAAGTGAGATGGGAGACTGTGGACAGGCAGGGGTGGGGAGGGTGGGTGCCCAGACATGGAGCCAGAAGGCAAGGAGAAGACTCAGCTGCTGGGCGGGGTGGAGGGGCAGGAGGGGAATACCACGCCTCCCCGTCACCCCCCCCCGACCCCGCCCCCCCGTCCACCCAAGGGGCACACCCCACTGCAGCACACCGAGGGAGGCGCACTCTGCCTCTCCCATTTCCCAAGATTCCGCAGAACCTCTACTACCAGCTCCCTTTCAGAAAAGTTAGACAAGAACTGCTATGTTCTGTGCTGCTGCTTTCCCAGGGATGAAGGCCCCAGTGAGAGGGCATCAGATGAAACATCTCTTGTGTTACCAAAATGGATCCCTGAAGATTTTAGAATTTTCTGGGATAATGGCTGGGTGGGTCATTCCCTGTCCTGTTTCCTTTATCATAGAATCTGCCTCTCCTTAACAGGGGAATGAGAACGATTTTGGGGGCTGAGAGGATGCACACCGACAGCCCACTTACGTCAGTCAGCTGCCGGAACGTCTCGTCCACTTGATGAAGGATGGTTGGGGAATCTTGGATGAGTCCCTTGATGGCATCTAAGTGATTGAAAGTGACCAGCAGCACATCCTTGGGACGAGGACACAGCAACACTTGATACTTGAAAGCCATCGTCATCAGGTCATAGAGCTGCCAACCCACACGTGAGCAAAAGAAACAGGACCTTATATAAGGGCAGGCCTCAGAACGTCCAACAGTGATTCAGTACCGGAAACCAACTCAGCGCTTACCACGCAGCTCAGTGACCACATCACGCAAACCAAGACACTGCTGAGAGGGAAAGGGGGTGACGGTAACAAGCTGGGACAATAGCAGTAAACCAGGACATTCCTGGGCAGACCAGGATTTCCGGTCAGCATACGTGTGGTGTTGATGGAATGCATATGAAACAATACGGGCAGCTGTGGGGCCCAGGACTGGGTTCCTGGCTTGGAGAATAAAAACCCAAATTCAAGCCCTCCTTGCTGCTGACTTGTTGGATGTGCTGCTGCCGTGCTGTGCTCAGCTGTGTCCGATCCTCGGCGGCCCCTGGTGTGGACTGTAGCCCGCCAGGCTCCCTGTCCAGGGGATTTTCCAGGCAAGAATACTGGAGTGGGTTGCCCCTTCCTACTCCAGGGGATCTTCTTGACCTAAGGATTGAACCTGCATCTCCTCCATTGCAGATCCTTTACCTATTGAGTTACCTGGGAAGCCTGGATTTTTTGGATAGCCCTGGCCAAGTCTCTTTGCTTCTCTGAGCCTGAGTTTTCTCATGTGTAAAAAGTATTCCCTAGCTCCTCAACGTTGCAGAACTGCTGAGAGATGTCAATGGGAAAACACACGTGAAAGTGGCAAGACTAAGGTTCCATGACTGTATGAGATGAATAATGGAACTTACTGGGATATCAATAAGCTCCACGAATGGTATGGCCATTCATGAAGATCAGAGGTGGGACGCTGGTGAGGACCAAAGTGGTCATGATGGGCTTTGTGGAAGAAGTGGGCCTGATACAGACTTGAGGCGGGGTTCTAACTGGGTAAGGGAGGGAAAAGGCGGGTGGTAGGGAAGAGCATGCTTGAGGGTCCAGAGGCAAGCCGTGGGCTTGCTGTTTTCCTGGCAGAAAGAGTAGACCAGCTTGACTCGAGGGGCTGGTCTGTGTTGGGGGTGGTGGGAAATAAAGCTGGATAATTATGGCAAGGTTAGAATATTAAACGTTTTTGAAAGATGGACAAAATAATTTAGACTAGATGTGGTAGGAATTAGGGGACTACTGAAATTTTCTGCGCTGATGTGATAAAAGTGGTAAATAAACAAGATTAGTGAGTCTGGCCATGATGAGATGTGCGAGAAGGGAGAGGCTGGAGTGAGGGCAGATAGCTGGTGCCTGGCTCCTAGGAGGGTGGCAATAACATGATTGTAAGAAAGAAATAAATGTTGTTGGAGAAACCCGGATGGAAGGTCTGGAAGAAAGATGGTGGGGAAGGATGAGGCAGGGAAAAGGAGAGACTGACACTCAGGAGAAAAGCTGTTAGTACATGGTGACTGCCTGATTGGATTTGGGGGACAAAGATGAGGGCTGTCCAAAATGACCACAGTATTTTCAACATGGTGCCTGGGAGATGCATGATGCTACATGACGCTACTGATGGAGGCAAGTTTGGGAGAGAAGGTATGGACATGTCTGAGGCAGGACTGAAAGTTAAATCACCTGAGGGCTTTGCGGAGCACACAGATGTGCATGACCTCAACTAATCCTGTTTAATTTCACAAGGACTCTATGTGTGTGTTCAGTTCAGTTCAGTCACTCAGTCGTGTCTGACTCTTTGCGACCCACGTATGTGTGTGTATGTACGTGCTAAGTCACTTTAGTCGTGTCCGACTCTTTGTGACCTATAGACCATAACCCACTAGGCTCCTCTGTCCATGGGATTCTCCAGGCAAGAATACTGAGGTAGGTATTATACCAAGTTTAAAAATGAAGAAAGGTGCCTAATTTCACATGGTTGGTAAAAAGCAGCAGGGTCAGATTTGACAGTTGGATCCTGAAGCATTTGCTAGAACCCTCTACATGATCTCCTTTCTCCAACATGCAGCTAAATATTTCACTGAGAAAGTGCCTGCCTACATAGAGGGGTGGGGTGGTGGGGTGGCGGGGTGGGAGAGAGGCTCAAAAGGGAGGAGATATACGTAAACATATGCTGATTCACTTTGTTGTACAGAAGAAACTAACAGCATTATAAAGCAATTATATCCAATGATAAAATTAAAAAAAAAAGAAAGTGGCATACAGCAGGAGCTGTCTTGGTTTGTGTGTGTGTGTGTGTGTGTGTGTGTGTGTGTGTGTGTGCACGCGTGCGCATGTGCAGGCTGGTCTAATACTAGAGAGGTAGATTTCAGACTCTCAGCCATCATCATCAAACATTAAGTCCTGTTGTGTACAGGACACTGTGCCAGGAATAAAGGATAAAAACAGGTATAAAATGAAGAAATGAAAGTTCAGAGTTATTCAGTGAATTGAGTCTCACAGCCACTGGTAGAACTAGGACTCAAACCCAGCCTTTTTTTTGAAATTCTGCATCCTTTCTCAGTGGAAACTTCAACTTTCTTAAAGGCAGGGGGAGAGGAACAGAGAGGAGAAGATACTGGACATTTACAGAAAATCTATGTGCTGAGCTTTCCTGTGTCATTATATGTATGTTTCTCACTTAATCCTCCCTCTAACTAATGAAGTAGCTGTTATTATCCCCATTTTATAGATGAGAAAACAGAGGCTCAGGGAGCTAAAGCAACTTTCTAAAGGTACCTGGCAGGAGGCAAAGGGAGCAGTTAAAGGCAGTCTGTCTCTCTGAGGTTCCCAGGTGCCAGCAATGAGACGGTGCTGCTTTTTGCACACCTGGCACCCACTGTCAGGCCTCACGATTTATAAAAATTTACATAATAAAGGGACTTGAAAAGGGGTTCTTATTAACATTGTAGGCAGATTTACCAGCTGAGCCACAAGGGAAGCCCAAGAATACTGGAGTGGGTGGCCTGTCCCTTCTCCAGGGGATCACCCCGACCCAGGAATCGAACCAGGGTCTCCTGCATTGCAGGTGGATTCTTGACCAATTGAGCTATCAGAGAAGCCCTGTTATTCAGATTAGTTTCTTCTAATGTCCTACTTCAGTTCCATTTCCCACATTCTATTTAGTCATCATGGTTCCTTAGGCTCCTCTTGGCTGTGACAGTTTCTCTAGTTTTCCTTGTTTTTGGTGGCCTTGACGATTTCAATGACAGGTCAGGTATTTTGTAACATGACCTCCGAATGGTTATTTGTCTGCTGTTTTCCTTCATGATCAGCCTGGGGTTGTGGGTTTTGGGGAGGAAGATCACAGAGGCAAAGCGTTATTCTCATCTTGTCATACCAGGATACCGCCACATGGCTCATCACTGCTGATGTTATCACCTGGTTGAGGTCATATTTGCCATGTTTCTCCACTGAGAAGTTAGTTGTTCCCCTTCCCCCTCTTTGCATACTGTCTTCCTTGGAAGGAAGTCACCAAGTGCAGCCACATTCAAGGAGTGGGGAGTTCTGTTCTCTCTCCCTGAGGGCGGGGAATCTATGTAAAGTGTCTGGAACTCTGAAGAACAGGAGAGCTATCTGTTCTCTGCCATTATTTATTTGGAATTATTCCTTTTAAAATCAGTACCCTAAAAAATTGTTGCACAAAGAAACAGATGTGTTTACATTAGAAGTAGAGACTGAGAGGTTTTGAATTTGCTCTTTAAAAAATGCCTGGTTTGCAGAGCCGAGATCTGTTAAGAAGGAAGCAGAATTAAGCCGGGTTGGGTGCTTGTGCTGGATTGTTGTTCACCCAGTTGAGTCTGACTCTTTGTGACCCCATGGACTGCAGCACGTCAGGCCTGCCTGTCCCTCACAATCTAAACATGGACATGCAGACCAGCACTCTCTCTGGGTGATATAATGACATAAACTACAGAGGGATTTGAAGCTCCAATATTTGGCCACCTGATGTGAAGAACTGACTCAGTGGAAAAGACCCTGATGCTGGGAAAGGTTGAAAGCAGGAGGAGAAGGTGATGACAGAGGATGAGATGGTTGGATGGCATCACCAACTTGATGGATGAGTTTGAGCAAGTTCCAGGAGTTGGCGATGGACAGGGAATCCTAGTGTGCTGCAGTCCATGGTCACAAAGAGTCGAACATGGCTGAGAGACTGAACTGAACTGACCAGAGGGGTTGGTGTGGATGACTTCTGAGGTCCTTCCCAACTTGAAACTCAAGAACAAGCCATATTAACACGTGCCTGTCTTTTGCCATGCACCACTGCACACATCATCTCCTCTGACTCCAGTCTGTGGTAATACATAAGAAACGCAGCCCAGGGAAGGGAGGCAGCTGCTCACCTTATCCATGCTGGCCTGGTTCAGTCTCATGATGGAGGCGTGAGCCAGGCGGTCGTAGACAGTCCTCAGGGCCTTCTTGGAGTAGAGCTCTTGGGGTTTGAACAATTCCTCCATGAACTTTCGATTGAACATGGTTGAAATGATGTCATTCATAACTGTAGAGACAAGAGAGGATGCAGGTGAGCAAAGCACATGTGGTAGCTTTATTTAGGAAATGCTCCGTGTACAGATGGAATGGACAGGCGGGGCCTATGTAGTATGGGGATGCAGTGTGCTTGGAGACCTGCTTCTTGGGGAGAAACCCCACGTGTGTCCCAGTGGAGAGCAGGGTCCAGAGTGCCTTATGAGCCCATCTTAGGGCAAACATACACGTGGCAATGTGCTGTGGTTCAAACATAACAACATTTCACTTGATGATAGAGAACATATTTATTCTTTCTTTAAAAAAGATTTCTATTAACATTGTAGATTAGATATCCACCTCAAAATGAGAAACAGCATTGCCTTTTCTGTTTGTTTAGCAAGCCTATAACATTTTTACTTTAAAATTTTATAAAGTGGGACCTATAATGGCAATTGACTTTTTTTTTTTCTAAAACAGTTTACACAAATAGACACGGGGCCTACCCACTGGTTAGAGATTAAAACTTTTTCTAGTGTTTCTATAAGATGTGTACTTCAGATTAACACCATTTGCTGCTGCTGCTGCTAAGTAGCTTCAGTCGTGTCCGACTCTGTGCGACCCCATAAACGGCAGCCCACCAGGCTCCCCCGTCCCTGGGATTCTCCAGGCAAGAACACTGGAGTGGGTTGCCATTTCCTTCTCCAGTGCAAGAAAGTGAAAAGTGAAAGTGAAGTCACTCAGTCGTGCCCGACTCTTCGAGACCCCACGGACTGCAGCCCACCAGGCCCCTCCATCCATGGGATTTTCCAGGCAAGAGTACTGGAGTCGGTTGCCATTGCCTTCTCCATAACACCATTTGAGGATGTCTTAATTTCTCTATGTGATCTATAATATTGATATCACACTGCAGTGACACGTCCCATACTGATGGAAAATTTCCAGGTGGCGAGAATAAAAGGTTCTAGTGTGTTTAGTCGTTTCAGTTGTGTCCAACTCTTTGCAACCCCATGGACTGTAGCCTGCTAGGCTCCTCTGTCCATGGGGATTCTTTCCAGGCAAGAATATCAGAGTGGGTAGCCTATTCCTTCTCCAGGGGATCTTCCTGACCCAGGAATCGAACTAGGGTTTCCTGCATTGCAAGCGGATTCTTTACCAACTGAGCTACCAGGGAAGCTAAGGTGTGTGCAATAGGAAGAAGAAGACCTTATAGGAAGAAGACCTATAATTCTAGGTCTTCATTCACTCATTCATTTAGATATTTTGTGCTACTCAAATAACATTATTTGAGGGCTAGGAAAACCATTTGGTACAAGAAATAGAAACAGATATGGTTGAACACAGATCATTCTTAATTAAGCCAGATATATTCCTGCCTAAAGGTGACTGTATATGGATGCTGAGACAATACATTTATAGTAATTAAAATTTGAAAGAAAACTTGTTACTTAAAATAATTATACAAAATCACATGAATGATTATTGCTGAAAGATACAGATCTCTCTTTCTCTTGCCACAAAAAGGACATGGCAGGTGACCCATAGTCGCCCTTGTATCTTAGAGAGTGAAGCAAGGCCATGATTTCAGACATTCTTTCTACCTATAAGTAACTGACAGAAGTACACTGAGGGCTCAGGCCAGCATTTTAAAGCATCTCAAAGAGCAATTTGGGGGAGAAGCGGGGAGCTGAGGGCTAGCTGTACTTAAATCTTAAATGGAAGGGCTATAGAGAAAGGCGGGGAGGGAAACATCCCCCACCCCCACCCTGACACGAAAGAACAAACAGTGTGACTGCTTTCAGAAGTACTGGACTCACACTTGACCTCTGTATTTTACTCTAGACCCCACCCCGTCAGTGAGGAAGAAGCAGATCCATTCCAACACAGGGTATCCATCATATCAGACAGTTTCAGCCCAGGCACTAACCTCTCCCCACTGTGGACAGCCTGGAGACCCATGAACTCCTCTGGGTTTGCCTCAAGCATGGCCTTTGGCCTTCGATCTAAACAAGCAAGGGTCTGCAATAAATTGGGCTTTCTGACATTTTTCTTACTGCAGCCTATATAAATGTAGAGTTTGTATGGAAATAGCTACATATGGAAAGCCACATATAAGGCCTCAAAAAAAGAGGGAATTTGAAGAATTTTCCACAGGTTTATGGAGGCCAGGGAGGAGTGCCAAAGAGGAAGAACTCACATTAAAGAATCGCATCAGCTCTGATTATGTTCACTATTACAAAGAGCTCCTGTTCACTGAGGTGCCAAGTCATGTCTCTAGGGTCTTTGAGCCTTTGGCAAGATCTAGGAAAATAGCTTAGACCCAAATAAGTCAGTTCTAAAAAGCCCCAAGGTGATTGTCAGCCACTCTGGCAAAGTAAAAAGCAAAGTGAAGCCATTTCTTTGGGAAGTGAATAAGCTCTGTATCACCATGGCTTCTTGCATAAGAGCTTCCAGAAAGTTCTCCTGCCAGGAAGAGAGTATGGCAGGCCCTGTCCCTGTGGGCAGAGCAGGGAACACAAATGCCCCCAAGAGGAGATGGCAATTTTGCAGTTGGGTCCTGGCACCCAGGGCACCCACCTTGGTTTAATTTTTTGGAAGGAGCCCGGGGGCACAAATTAACACGCTTACACCTCACAGTGTGCTTCAGCTGGCACTTGCTGCGGCAGAGAGGAAGTGAATGTTATCCTTGCCCAAGAGTAGCAGCCCACACCATATTTAAGCTAAGCCTGAGCAGTTTTTTTTTTTTAATAATATTTATTTTCTTTGGCTGCATCTTAGTTGCAGCATGCAGGGTCTTTCATTGTGGTGCACAGACTCTCTGGCTATGGTACTCGACAGGCTTAGTAGCTGTGGCATGTGGGCTGAGCTGCTCCGCGGCACGTGGGATCTTAGTTCCCCGACTGGGGATAGAACCCACACCCCCTGCATTACAAGGTGGATTCTTAACCACTGGACCACCAGTGAAGTCCTCTGAGAAGCTTTAACCTGATCTGTAAGTTAGTCTTGGTGTTCGTTTTGGCCCTCACATGAGCTCAGCATAATTGCATGAGGCAGAAATGTGCTAGGAGCCAGATTTCATCAGGAGACTAACGCCAGGTGTATGGAGGGGTGGTTTTTCATGGGTGCACTGGAAGGGTCAGTAACTGAGTTCCTAACGTATTAGGCTTCTAATCCTGGGTTTGGATTATAAAGTCAGTTTCTGCTTATTATTTTTGGATATATAAGATAAATTCCAGTGATTCAGTTACTTACATAAAAAGTCTTCAAAATCCATACTTCTCACCTGAAATTCTGCAGTGCATCAAGAGGTGGGCCAAAAATTGCTTAAGAGAAGTGGTGAAAGACGGTTGTGAAACATTATAAAACTTTACCAACCACTTCGATTGGACTTTTCTTGGAGCCTGGCCTGATGAAATAATTCTCTTGATGAAAGCAACTGCATTTTTAACTAGTACTTCTGCTGTAAATTTTATTGTTTATGGGGACACACAACTTGAAACCAAGAGTAAAAAAGAGAAGCTACTATTTCTGGGTGGTTACCATGTTTTGAAGCCTTATTATGTTGCAAGTTCTGGGCTTAGAACTTTCCATTCATTATCTCATTTAAATAAATAATCAAACGATTTTGAAGGGTACCCTGCTCCCCACCCCCAGTTACTAGGGCTTTGAAAAGAAAAAGAACAGAGATTCAAGAATACTCAAGTTTCCTAAAACCAAGGCAAACTTAATCAGACTATAAACCAATTTAAGAAACTGAAATGATAGCAAACAAGCACAAAAGGTCCAGCAAATGCTGGACAAAGCATTTGCTGAAGTATTACCCTACTGTATCGAAGGGGAAAACAGTTTTCGAGAGGTTAAAGTCCAAGGTCACATAGGACGGGGTGGAGCTGAAATCAGAACGGGCTATTTGATTCTAGTGCCTGTGCTCTTAAATATTACACATGTTATCTCCTCTGCATTATTAGTGTGGAGAGAGGACTTAAAACATCGAGGCTGATGGCTGATGACATGCATAACCTGTACCCAGGGTCAGATGATGACATTTAAAGGTGAGAAAGGCGGAGGTTTTATTCTGAGGGATTAACAGCTTTCTCAGTGTGCTCTTGGTTGTAGGTGAGGGGGAAACTGAAGATCTGGCATAATAAGACCACAGTGCATGCGTGTCATGCCTTCTGTGCCCAAGCCTGACGGCCATGCAGCCACATGCTTCCACGTTTCTCAGTTGCTCAACAGATATCTCTGTGTGCTCAGGAGAACAGCTCTTTGGCTACATGATGCTATCACAGAATTGTTTAAGGACGACTAAATAGGACAGGCCACCTGGAAATGTAGCTATTGTCCCAGGTGTCCTTGCCAAACTTGGAACTGTGAAAAAGGACAAATACCTCAGGTGCAATATGGTCCTTTGACTAATGTTTGCTTGGTTTTCATCTTTCACGCTGTATTTAAAAGATTCAACTGTATAACCAATGTCTCAGCTAAAGAGAAACTCATGCCTATTCTTTTACTTGGAAATGTCTAGAGTGGTCCCACTCTAAGCCCCACTGAAGAAGGACTGGGTGAACCTGTGGATGCAGACTGAATACATGCAGCCCCAAGATAGCATACCTCGTTTTCTGTCCACCTCTGTCCATTCATCTACATGAAGCATATAAAAAGAAAACACCAGTTCATGAAGCAAGAACGTTATTTTCAATGAGGCTTTAAAAATACCAATTCCAATGATCTGGCTTATGAAACTTTATTTTTCATGTTTGCATTAATGTTTTAATGCAAATACTCTGCCTTCCATTTGAAGCTTTTAAAAGGCTGATGGATAAATAACAAGTTCCAGAAAAGCCCTAGGGAGGCTGTATCTTATAGAAGAGCGTGGCCCAGGAGGAGAGGAAGCTCAGGAGGATGAGACACCCTGGGGTTTACCTTGCAAGGTTCAAGAAGCCATCCTCTGTAATGCTCTGAGAGTAGACATCATTCAAAATAAGGCTTTTAAAAACACTAACTTCCGCAAGAAAGAATAATCCTGAGAACAGGTACAGAAAGAATTTTCTTTCTTTACAACCTGATTCTCTTATTAATGTAAGAGTTCTCTTTCTAGAACACAGAACTACTCAAATTAAAAAAAAAAAACTAGAAAGATAAATGAACAGAAAAAAACTATTTGTTTCTGATTTACCTTTTATACAGAGAGGTGTGACTTCCATGTAAAAAGAGGGAAATAATGATGGGACCACTGTACAGAAAGCTCCTGAGGACAAAGGTAGATAGGGAAATGCCAAGAAGAGGCCAAATAAGGAAAAATGTACTTGGGTAGAGAAATCTGTGAGAATCATGACCCTTTAATGGGCTGAGACCTGGCTCTCCTGTTTACCAGCTGTGTAACTTCAAGCAGCTTGTGTAACCTCAGTTTCTTCATCTGTGAAATGGGGATTATAATTGCACCCACCCGGTAGGGTTGCTGTGGGGATAAAATAGACACATCAAACACTTTTCTGACTTCTCTCCTAGTTCTGCTTTCTCTACTTCAGAATTTGGGGCACCACCCATAAAGGCTCGTGATGAATTTTTTTCTTTCCTTGATTTTTTTTGGGAGAGATTTCAATCTAAAACCACCCACAGATAAACAGAGATCTACACACAACCACATTTTACAAACATTTTGTAGTTTGGTGTATTTTGGGAACATTTGCACTAAATTGTTTGAGACGTGACTCCTGAGGTTATAACGTGCATAGTATAATATAATTAGTACATGCTGCTGCTGCTGCTGCTAAGTCGCTTCAGTCGTGTCCGACTCTGTGCGACCCCATAGACGGCAGCCCACCAGGCTCCGCCGTCCCTGGGATTCTCCAGGCAAGAGTACTGGAGTGAGTTGCCATTGCCTTCTCCGAATTAGCATATGTGTGCCTTCACTATGCAATGCCGACAGCTCATAGAGACCCTCCTGAAAGCACGAGTGCCATGTCCTGCCTAGCTGCAAAGGGTTCCTACTGCAGGGTCAGACTCCTCTGGGGAAATTCACCATCTTTCTCCCACAGAGTTACAGGGTTCCAGAGAGAAAACACCGGGGAAGCAGCACCAAGACACTAGCCTTCTTTAAGCAGATGCTGGCTTCTTTGGCATAATGTCCACATCTGTCATTTCATGGCATTTATTTTATAGGCGGTCTTGCCTGATAGGCTCGTGGGAATTCACAGAGATAGAGCTGCAACCCTCTTGAAGGTATATTTGGCAACAGAGGGGCTGCCAGGGGGCTCACCTACCCTAAAGGAGAGTGATTACCTGCTGCTGACAACAACAAAAAAGAACTGGCCAACACATGCCCAGGGCTACCAGGCACTCTTGCAGGCAGTGTCCTTTGGCTCCAGCAGAGGTTGCTGTCGAGCTGTGTGTGCGCCTGGCCCTTTTCCTTCTGAGGATCCCGGGAAGTTAAAGGATGACTTGTTTGTGACAATTCCACTTTACTTATATTTTGAGTGGGAGGTAGGCTCAAGGCTTATTCAGAGCCTCCTGTTAAATTGGAACTATAAAATAAATCTAGTATCTCACAGCACTTGGTTGCTCAGTACTACTCTGTGATCTGCATATCTTGGGAATGGCCCCATGCCTTAGTTTCCCCTTCTGTCAAATGAGGAAGGCAAACAAATGGTAAGAGGGCCTTGCTTATGAGTATCTGTAAGAGGGTGAGTGAGTGAGTGAGTGAGTGAAAGTTGCTCAGTCGTGTCCGACTCTTTGCAACACCATGGACTATACAGTCGATGGAATTCTCCAGGGCAGAATACTGGAGTGGGTAGCCCTTCCCTTATCCAGGGTATCTTCCAGGAGTGAGGTGAAGGCAACTTTTATTATTCTGGCAATTGCTTAAACGTGGGACCTCATTCAGTATGCAACAGTCAGAGGTTGCCCCACAGAGACAGCACTTCCTTTCTGTTGAAGGCTAAACTAGAGTGAGCTGCCTTCTGGGGAGAAACTGCAAGATCAGCCCTGGACTTAAGGGATGGCCTCCAGGAGACCAATTAGTTGTGTAAGACAGTGAAAACTTCTAGAAGAAACATGGTTTCCACCCAGAGCTTCACTGAGGACTAGTTGACTGTTTTGAATCTCACACCCTCTGCCCTGTTTTCTCATTCTATTTTCTGCATGTCCTCATCAACCAACTACTTTCTGTCATTTCTTTGATGAGACCAGTGGGTATCCTGAATTTTTTTTCCCAAGCCTCTCCCTCTCCCTCCCAACCTTCCAACTCCCTCCTCACCCCATTCCCTCCACAAAGATTCTGATGTAGTCTCCTACAGGGCAGCCGTGAAGGTTGTGGATAAAGAGTATGAGCTCTGGAGCCTGCTGACCTGGGTTCAAACACATTACTCTTCCTTCTTACCAGTTATGTAAACCTGAGCAAATGAACCTCACTTTCCCCATCTGTAAAATGGGGATAGTAGTACTACCTACATGATAGGATAGTTGTGGGGATTAAGGTGTTCAGAGAAGTCCATGGTATGTGGTTAAGTACTTTATAGCTGTTCGTTGCTATTGCATTAGGAAGACATATCCCCCAGGTTTAGAATCAGTTATTGGACAGACTGATCAAAAGCCCTACCTCCAGAGGATGCAGAGAAGGGCCGCATGAGGCTCTGCCCAGCACCTCAATGGCATCTGACACAACTCAACAGTGGAAGGAAAGTGTTTGAATGTGAATTATGGAAGATGGCTGAAACTCCCTGATGCCACCTCTAGCAAACCCAGGACTGCAGCTCCTGAACACAAAGGAAGCCAGTCCCCTAGTATAATCACAGGATCTTGCCCAGACCGCCTCTTGAAAGACCATACCTGCTACTCATTGTGTTAAACATTTAAGTATGTCACCTCAATTGATCTTACAATGTCACTGTGAGGTATATTTTATTATTCCCCTTCTAGGGAGAAAGAAACAGGCATACAGAGTTTACAATCCAAGGTCATACAATTAGTTAAATGGCAAAGCTGGAATTGGGAGCTCTATCTGTATGACTCCAGACAGCATGTTCTTAAGTGCTAATGTATCCTGCCTTCCAAGACTGCAGACCACCAGTGCAAGCACAACCTATCAGCTCACTGGTGCCAAAAGCCCAAATGAAATCACTTAACATAGCACCAAGGAAAACAGAACCCTCTTGAGGGAAAAACAGCAATGTAATATCAAACAGCAGTTCAACAAACATTTACTGAGCACTAGTTTATTCAGTTGTAGGCATTATGCTAGGCGCTGGAGTACAAAGGTGAATAAGACAATCACGTGGGGGAGACAGACACATATGCAGACCATTTCAGCATAATATGGCTAGCGATAAGGTTGAGGGGGGCACACATCAGGTATGGGAGTATGCGCAGGCCATTTCCCATGTGGAGATGAGGAGATGATTCTTAAGTTGAATAATGCAGGATGGAAGGAAAGTGACTAGCATGGAAATGGGACGGTTGGGGTAGAATGGGAATTACCAGCATGGAAACATGAGTGAACATGCTTTAAATGGAGATCTACAAGCAGTTTGGTATTAAGATACACAGTAGGAGGCAGGCAGTGGTGGAAGCTGGGACTGCAGAGGTGGACAGGGGGTCAGATCAGGAAGGTCCCTGAAATGTCCTGCCAAGGACTTGGCCTCCATCCAGACAGCAGTGGGAAGCTGACAAAGGGTTTTAAATAGCAAGGAGTATGGACAGATTCAAATGTTAGAATGCTCACTGGCAGCAGTGTACAGAATTAATTGAGGGGGTATGCTATAGGGAGCTCTTTCTCTTTATGCATGGACTTGGACTCAATTGCACAGATACAACAGTGAATATCTGAATTTGTATGCTGAACATCAATTGAGCATACAGAGACTGTTGGAGACAGTAAATGTTTGCATCAGCGGCTATGTCAGTTACCTTTATACAGACTTTCCTTTCTCTACCTTCAAATACAGTATTTCCTTCATACTTAATCCCAGGAAACTTGGTGAAAACAGCTGTTGGTTGAGAAGGAGGGGAAAAGGAGAGAAAAAGGGTGGCAGACAGTTCTGGGTGGCCAATTCTCTGGGGTTAGATGTGGTATGTATGGGAGGCAGATTTTGCATCTTAGAAACTCTCATATAATTATTTCCACAACTGCATTCTCTCCAAACAATTGTGAAGGGAAAAGACAACTTTTATTTTTTTATTTATCTATGTTATTTCAGATGCCCACCTTTCTAGAAATAGCTTCTGAACTTAGTAAGACTAGCCTCCGGCTTATGAAGGAGGATACTGCACAGAGGAATGGAGACTCAGAAGGTTCCCTGGGGGGAGTGTGCCACCTGGGGTGGCCCACTGGGATCCTCACGTTTGGGAGGGATCAATTGTCAAGAGAGATTGGGAAATCATCTCCAATTTAAGGGGATGAGTAAATGGGGGGAGGTCAGGTACCCTAATAATATTCAATGGAGGTATTAAATCCCTCTGTGGTGAAACGATCTTTTGGGTACTGTGCTGATGAGGGGTTCTGCCTGGATGGGGCTGTGGGTTATGAAAGAGGTCCCCGGTTATGAGAGTGCAGAGTGCAGGGGTGTTGGCCAATCTGTAAAGGCGCTTGGCTATAGAGGTCTGGCTGAGGGGGCCGGGGCTGGTTGTGCGGGCGGGGAGCCTCACCTTTGCGGGCCTTGTCTCCGGGGATGTTCTGGGCCCGCAGCCGTTGGTCCAGGATGTAGAGCATCTCCCCGCCCAAGTTCAAGAAAAGCAGCGGCAGCGTCCGCGTGGACATGGTGCCGGAAGCTAGCGCGTCTGCTACAGAGCCTCCAGGTTTAGTAGCCAGAAGACAGGAGGCCCCGCAGCCGCGTCCCCAAAGCCCGGTTGCTAGGCAACGTGGCAGGCGGCAAAGAAGGCCAATCAACAGGCCGCTTGTTGGAAGGCACCCGGGGGCGGGCGCGTACTGGGCGAGGCGGCGAAGACCTACGGGGTTGATTGGACAGAGTCCCGCGGGCCTTCGGCCCTGAGCGCCGGTTTTGAATTTCTTTAGACCCGGAGGGTGGGCGACGATCGGCAGGGTGACCACTCTCTCCCCTCCAGGGCGGAGTGCTCACGTGCCGTTAGAGGAAAATGAAAGTGTTTGTCGCTCAGTCCTGGCGGACTCTTTGTGACCCCATGGACCGTAGTCCGCTAGGCTCCTTTGTCCATAGAATTCTCCAGGCAAGAATACTGGAGTGGGTAGCCAGTCCCTTCCCCAGGGAATCTTCCCACCCAACGATCGAACTCAGGTCTCCTGCATTGCAGGCAGATTCTTTACCGTCTGAGCCACAAAACCCAAGCCGAACTCTTTTAGAGCAGACTCAATACTTTGGCCACATCAAGCAGAGTTGACTCATTGGAAAAGACCCTGATGCTGGGAGGGATCGGGGGCAGGAGGAGAAGGGGACGACAGAGGATGAGATGGCTGGATGGCATCACCGACTCGATGGGCATGAGTTTGAGTAAACTCCGGGAGTTGGTGATGGATAGGGAGGCCTGGCGTGGGTCGCAAAGAGTCGGACACAACTGAGTGACTGAACTGAACTGGGCAGACAAGTCTTTTTTTTTTTTTTTAAGTAATTTTTAATATGATCATATTAGCTTCAAAATTATTTATATCATGTAATTTTATGAACAAAAGCCAAAACAACTTTCAAATTAAATCAGATTTTCCATTCTAACAGACTTTCTCAGTAAGTGCAAAGGAATCGGCAGATTCCTGAGCCTGACAAATATGAAAATCATTTGATTCAATTTGGTTAGAGGTCAATTCCTTTATACTTTCGTAGGTGGTGGTTTGGTGGTTTAGTCGCTAAGTCATGTCTGACTCCCGTGACCCCATAGACTGTATCCCACTAGGCTTCTCTGTCCATGGGGTTCTTCAGGCAAGAATACTGGAGTGGGTTGACATTTCCTTCTCCAGGCAGACCTGGGTTTGAATCCCTGCTCTGCAGTTTCCTGCAGTTGGGGCAGTTGTTTTGAACCTAGGCTTCCTCATTCTGGAAGATGGAGGGGACAGCCATCTCCCCAATGTTGAAGAGCGGAATCACTGAGATCATGCAAAATGCCAGGAAAGCCCTCAGCAAAATGGTAACTTTCAGGTGGGGGAAGTACCAGAGGTCCTTGAATTATTTGCATTTCCTCCCTAAAAGGCACTTGGAGTGAAGCCCAACAGAAGGTTTCATGCACCGGGAAGCAAACCAGGCCTGTTGAGGATGAGTGCTGGGCTTTCCGAAGCTCCTGCACAGTTAAGCAGGCCTACCACCCACTTCTCTGTTTTGAGGGCAGTAACCACATTCTTCACCTTCATCAGAAGCTTCAGGATCACCTTCTCATCATCTGCTGTTTTTACATTTTTGCTTTGATGAGCAACCGTTTCTGTAAATTTCAGTAATTCTAAAACCTACTAATCATTTCCCCCTCCAGCCACTCAGACTTGAACCTGAGCCTTGGTTTCCAGTTTCCTCCCCCTGGGTCTTATTATCATTCACCAATTCTGCTTTTCCCACCAAAATCTTTCTCACATTTCTTTCTTTTTGTCTGCATTACGGTGTTTCTTCATATAACTGCTCTTTTCTCACTTCCATGGGCCTGGCTGCTAGGCTAAATTTCAGAAGACACCCATCAGGCTTTGCATATGACATCCCTTCAGTGGCTCTCCACTGTTTGGCAGATCACAGGTGAAATGCCTTTGTGAGGCGTTCAAGCCTGTCCGCTCTGGCTCTAGCTGCCTTTCCAGAGACCTCTTCTGCACTCCCTTACTACTTCACAATCCACTTGAACTCAAACTCATTAGCGTCGTCTTCTCTTTGGAGCATCACCTCCTCTTACTGATAACCACACCCGCCACTGGAAAGTCTTCCTTTAACATATAAGCTCAAGTCTTTCCCACACCTTCTGGAGTCCACTTTCCTTCCTTTCAAAGCCGAGGTTTTAAAAGAATAGTTTACCCTCATAATCTCAATTTCCCCCATCATCATCACCCACTTCATTGCCATTGGATTCAGCTCTCTCCACTCCACTGAAACTGCTTCATCAAGAATACTTTTTGGTGCTTAACCGACATCTCGGCAGATACTATACAGTGATTGAAAGCTAGCAGCCCAGGGCTTTGATTTGATCTTGGCTGGTCTGTGCACTGTCTTAAAAGGGACTATAACTAGCATGGGACTGTAATAAGCAGCTTAGCATCATTATCTTACTCTTGGCCTTCATGCATTATGCTATCTGCCTGGTTGCTAAAAGCATTTGAGTTTGTTGCAGTGTAGTTTCCTCCCAGAGCTTCTCAGACCACTTTTTCCCCTAGGCACTGTGATATTATGAACAGAACATGGGCTTTGGAGTCAAGACAGATGTGGGTTTGAATCCTTGCCTGACTCTAAGCACCTTTGTGAATCTGGACAAATCGTGAGTCTCAATTCTCTCGTGGTTAAAATGAGGATAATTATGCCACTATGGCAGGGGGGTTGGTGGGGGGAAGTTTGATAAAGGTGGCTTTAAAGATTAGATGAGTTAATGTGACTAATGCAACATTTAAAACAATGCCTTTCCTGTAGGGCCTGTTCCATGAATCTGTGAATGTGTTTCTTTTCTTGCCTTCTCCAGCATAGCATCTCTTAAGTAGCTGTGCCTACTTGAGTCCTGTCCCATAACAGGCATTCCCTCCTGTTCCTGGAGGTGGTATCTGACCCTCTCCTCTCACTTGATTCCTTGATCCCAGACCCTCTGTTCCACCTTCATGTCACCTTCCCCTTGACCTCAGCTGTTCCTCCTGACTCAGGATATGCCCTCAGAAATCATCCTTCCCATCTGGACATGGTCCCGTTTTCTTCGCTCACATTCCCTCCCTGAGCAATTTCACTCACACCCGTGGCTTCAGTCACCTTAAAGGTAACTCCCAAACCTGTCTCTGGTTTCCAGCTGCTCTTTGGACATCACTATAATGCACCTTCCTTCCTTTCTGGCTTCCTTTCTCACTCAGCATGAAACCTAAAGTCTTTCCCCTAGTGTTATGGACTGAATATTTGTTCTTCCCAAATTCAAAGGTTGAAGCCCTAACCCTCAATGTGACGGTATTTGGAGATGGGGGTCTTTAGGTGGTCATGAGAGTGAGGTCATGAGGGTAGAGCCCTCATGAGAGGATTAATGCCCTTATTAGAAGAATAACTTTTCTTCTCCTTGGAAGAAAAGTTATGACCAACCTGGACAGCACATTAAAAAGCAGAGACATTACTTTGCCAACAAGTCTGTCTAGTCAAGGCTATGGTTTTTCCAGTAGTCATGCATGGATGTGAGAATTGGACTATAAAGAAAGCTGAGTGCTGAAGAATTGCTGCTTTTGAACTCTGGTGTTGGAGAAGACTCTTGAGAGTCCCTTGGACTGCAAGGAGACCCAACAAGTCCATCCTAAAGGAAAGTGAAAGTGAAGTTGCTCAGTCGTGTCCGACTCTTTGCGACCCCATGGAATGTAGCTTACCAGGCTCCTCCGTCCATGGGATTTTCCAGGCAAGAATACTGGAGTGGGTTGCCATTTCCTTCTCCAGGAGATCTTCCCAAACCAGGGACTGAACCCAGGTCTCCTGCATTGTAGACAGATGCTTCACCGTCTGAGCCACCAGGGAAGTCTCTATATCACAGGAAAACTTCTAGTGAGATAACTTGTAAAATCTCTACCCCAACAAAATTAATTCTGTCTAGGAAGCACCCTATTGAAAAAGAGTGGATTAAGTCCTACAGTTTGTAATTGAGTTTTAAAATTTAGTATGTTGCTATATTGAATAAAAAAATGTGATAGAAAGGATTCAGGCCTTATAAATGGCTGGAGAAACTGTCATCTGTATAACTAATTAATTCCATTAGACTTGCAGGGTTGTAGCATGGTTTAAAATATTGATTGGAAAAAAAATAAAATTTTGATTGGCTTTAGTTATGAAAAAACAAAGTACTAATGAAGACACAAATTCCTTTGAGCTGGGGATTCATTCATGGACAAGTCCATTTGCCTTCTGTTTTCTCAATCACAATAGTTTGTGTATCACTACCTGGTAGTATATATTCATAGTCATCATACAAGAGGCCTAGGATTGGATACTGTGTCCTGTACTTTCTAGTTGTAATAGTTGTCCTTCTACCACTGGAGGGTTGGTTATGAGATGAATATATTTCTTGTCTCAACTTCCTAAAGGAAATCAGTCCTAAATATTCATTGGAAGGACTAATGCTGAAGCTGAAACTTCAATACTTTGGCCACCTGATGCGAAGAACTGACTCCTTTGAAAAGACCCTGAAGCTGGGAAAGATTGAAGACAGGAGGAGAAGGGGACGACAGAGGATGAGATGGTTGGATGGTATCACTGACTCAATGGACGTGAGTTTGAGTAAACTCCGGGAATTAGTGATGGACAGGGAGGCCTGGAGTGCTGCAGTCAATGGGGTCGCAAAGAGTTGGACACGACTGAGCGACTGAACTGAGAAGGGCAAAAGCAATCTCTTCCTCTCCTTCTCTCTCTCCCCACTTTACTGCCTCCCTCCACTTGTGAGGACATAGTCAGGATGTGGCCATCTATAAGCCAGGAAGAGATTCCTCATCAGAAACCAAATCAGCCTACACCTGGATATTGGAATTGCTAGCCTCCAGAACAGAAAATAAATCTGTTAAGCCACTCAGTTTATGGTACTTTAAAACAGCAGCCTGAATAGACTAATACACCCCAAAAGCTCCATATTACTTGGTTTCTGCTAACTCCTCTGATCTCA